TTTTCTGAATTAGTATATCGAGAAAAAGAATTTGGTGATTTTGTTCTTTTTCAATAGTGAATTTAATTGTTGGTTCTTTATTATTCAGATAAGATGAAAAGTCATCAAGTTTTTGTTCGCCATGACTGTAAATGGAGAATACGTCATCAATATAACGCCACCAAATTATAGGTTTAAATTTGTAATTATAAATGAAAGTTGACTCAAAATTTTCCATAAATAAATTACTAAAAAATGGGGATAGTAGTGACCCCATAGCCATTCCAAAATTTTGTTGATAAAAATTGTCATTGTATTGAAAAAAAAAATTTTCTTTGTTGTTGCAATTATTAGCGTGCTTCACTGGAGCTATGTTTCTTCACTGCTGAATTTTTCACTTGTCCTAATCCACAATTTTTGCAATGTTCCTCAATCCTGGCTTTACATGATCTTAATGTGGTTCCTACGTGGACGATTCTACAAGGGCATGGTATTCTGTAGTTTGGAGTTGCGAATAAAGGCCAATTGTCTTTAGTCGATCTTAGGCGGTCTTGAATCTTAGTTCTAGATTGTTTTAATGTCAGGTTTTTCTGCAGATTTATTCGATTATATCTATGAGGTCCTTGATGATTTTTTGAAGTCCAAACTTTACAAGAGTACAGGCCTTCGCCTTCTTCTGCTATAGTAATTAAAAAAAAAATAAAACCCAATTTATCCTCTTGTATTTCCAGACCCACCGAAAAATGATTTGAAAGTTTTTATTAATTTTTTGGTCATCCAGTTATAGCTACTTTTAATTTATCTAAAATGTCCCTGTCTGTTCACAGTCGAAAGTGCTTAGACTATAAATATACTATTTAACTTATATTTTAAAATTTATCGTAACTATAAACAAAAAATATAATTATTATAAGCGAATATTCTCCGAACTTCTATGGAACGTAACGTTATTTTCCGCGGGTTCGCTACCAGAATTCGACTCCAAATCATCATCGCCGTAGTTTCGCATGTTTTTCCTGCAACATTTCAGCTCCGCCATTCTAAAATCCTTGCTTGAGCGGCCTAACATGACCAGTAAAACTATCGGTTCACATATGTACAAATAGACGGAAAACCCCGCAAAAATCAGGTACATTTTATAATAGTGGGCATCTTCTGCTAAAGTTATGAATATGCGTATTAGAGTGGATGCGGCAGACATTGCAAGTAAAACTTGCGAAATTGAGAAGGCATATGCGGTTTTACGGGCATCTGATAGAGGCTTTTTGAATCGTTTCAGTATAGTGAAGCTTATTACTATCAGACAGCAAACCGTTATAGTTGCAACATCGGCGATTAAACATACACGGAATTCTAGTAGGTTTGAAATGTCGTAAAATACTTTGAAAACCACTGCTATTCCCAGTGTAACTATCAAGAAAAAGACTCCCACCCCGTATTTGAATGTAATGAGAAATTTGTTGTACAGTTCTGGATGGTAGTTTGGGACATACCAACTAAGGGCCAAAAAAGTCAGAGTAAAGTTCATTAGGATTTCCGTGCATACCTCCAGACCAAGAGTCACTTCAAGGACAATCCTAAATGGAATATATGCAGCTAAGCCCAAAATCAAACATATACCGCTAAAAATTGCATAGAGTAAAATTATTACATTGATACGAGTTTTCGGCGGTTTCAGCCTCGCGATAATTACAATTAAATATATACTGCCAGACAAGGCACACAATCGTATCAGCGCACTGACAATCACAAGAAAATATATAAAATCACGTAGAGAAAAAATCCGTTCCAGGTCTTCCTCGTCTAAGTCTGGAGGATACCAAGACATATTGGTAGATTCAAGCAGTAACTTCTCCGAAGACATTTTTGCGTAATCTACAAATTATAAGTAGTGTATTAAAAGATATCCAATTAAATTAATTGTTATAGAAATTTTCACTAAATTTAGCCATGTTATAAACTATGCTTCGAAAGCTTTGAGTCCAGTGTGAGCTTTGGAGTAAAAAATCTCTGAGGATGCAAGCCACTGCTTGGGAAACGTTGGGAAACAATGCTTTCCAAGACGGTTTAAAAGTCAGAAAAACTCCAACCAAACCAATTTTTCACTGGCTCATTGAAAACTGTTTAATTTACATTTAGTTTTGGAAAAGTTAGAACCTAATTGTCCTGCTTTAGGTTTAAACAGAACATTAAAACATCGCAGAAAATTTTGTTGGATTAAGTGCCCTGAACTAATGCAATTATCTAGGATAATCTCCATTTCCGCATTAGAAATGCGCATTTTTTAAAGAGTCGCTTTTTCAGTTCTTTTTTGTTAATTTAAAGTTCAATTTGGAGTTTTTCGAATTTGAGTGTTGTATGAATTTAACGTAATTTTTGAGGCATTTTGCATATCACATTTTTTGCTTTGTACAGAATCAATTTGGATGCCAAACGTTTTTTTTTTAAAGCTGAGATAAAAGTTGAATATTAGTTCATAAAAGATACCACTGTATTACAAGCAATCGGGAACTAGCATAATAATAATCTTACCGTTATCGTTCTCGGCTCTGGTAAAGTCCTCTTTATTCTGCGATCAATTTCCGTTGGTTTTCCCTACAGGTCACACACTAAATCTGACGTCTCTCGGACTTTAACTACCAAAATCTAATTTTTCACATGATAATGCGCATTTATTTCGATATCTCTGGACACACTGGTCTGCTGCAGAGTGACTGTTGTTTACGAATTGTTGCTATCATTTCTCTTAAAATTGTAGTCAACCAGCTTATGGTGTTTTGTTTGATTGTTTGTGCTTTTGATTTAATCAATCCAAGCGAGCGCAGTTATATTTCAGTGTGGTAAAGAATGATTGTACATTCTGCCGCCGGTTAATTTGTAATCAAAGCCACAACAAACGGAAGATAAATATTATTTAGGCGATGGGAATTAAAACTAGTTTAATAAATGTGGATCCACCCATTGTCCAAACCCAAAATTTGGATTATTTCAATCACATAACAACTAATTGGAAAGGAAACCTTGCCAATTTACAATCAAAATTACTTCAGCTGTCCTTATACCTATTCTAAAATGTGTATAACTGTAAACACCCTTACAGTTATAATCGAATATTATCTGAACTTCTATGGAATGTGACGTTATTTTCCGCGGTTTCGCTACCGGAATTTGATTCCAAATCATTATTGTCGTAGTTTCGCATGTTTTTCCTGCAACATTTCAGCTGCGCCATTCTAAAATCCTTGCTTGATCGTCCTAACATAAACAGTAAAACTATCGGTTCACATATGTACAAATAGACGGAAATCGTATCCAAAGTCAAGTAAATTCTATAATAGTGGTCAAATTTTTCAAAAGTTAACAATGTGCATATTAGAGTGGACGCGGCAGACATTGCAAGTAAAACCTGCGGAATTGAGAAAGCATATGCGGTTTTATGAGCAGCTGGCAGAGGCTTTTTCAATAGTCTGAGGATAGTAAAACTTAATAACATCAGGCAGCAAACCGTTAAACATGTAACGTCGGCAATTACATATACACAGGAATCTATTAGGTTTAATATGTCATGAAATACTATGGAAAACACTGCTATTCCAAGTGAAACTAGCAGGAAAAATAATCCCACCCCATATTTGAATGTAAAGGGAAATTTGCTGTACAGTTCTGAATAGTAGTTTGGGACATACCAACTAAGGGCCAAAAAAATCAAAGTAAAGTTCATTAAGATTTCGGTGAATCTTTCCAGACCGAAGGTCCGCACAAAGAAAATTGTATCCGAATATAAAGCTACTAAATTGAAAATCAAATACATACAGCTAAAAGTTACATAGAGTAAAATTATCACATTTATATGAGTTTTCGGCGGTTTTAGTCGGGCGATAACTACAATTAAATATATATTGCCAGACAAGGAAAACAATCTTACAAACCAACTGGCAATCATAAAGAAATGTATAAAATTACTTAAAGAAAGAATTAGTTCCGTCTCTTCCTCGTCTATGTCTGGAGGATACCAGGACATAGTGGTAGATTCAAGCAATAACTTCTCCGAAGACATTGTGTGTAATCTACAAAGTATAATTAAATTCAACTGATCAGTTTATGTATGTAAAGATTTCCAAATGAATTAATTAATCGTTATAGAAATGTTCGCATAAGTTTAGCATAAGTTTTTTAAGGAAATTAAACACAAACAAAGAATCAATTGAATTCGGCTTGAAACTGATGAGTTTTTATTGCTGTCTTGTTTCTTGTTTTCTAACATCTTTCGCTCGAAAGCTTTGAGTTCTGTGTAAGCTTTCGAGTTAAAGTCTGTGAGGATGCAAGCCACTGCTTGTGAAACGTTGTAGATCGTTACTTTCCACGATGGCTTAAAAGTCAGAAAAACTCGCCAATTTTTCACTGAGCCATTTGTTGCAAGATAATTAATAGTTGCATCCTTCATAAAGCTGAGATAAATGCTGTATAAGAGTCCATAAAAGATACCAATGTATTACAAGCAAGCGGGAAACTAGCATAGTAATATTCTTACCGTTATCGTCCGCTCTGGCAAATTATTTTTTTTTATTTTGAGATCAATTTCGCCGATTTTTCTTACAGGTCATACACTAAATCTGACGTGTTTCGGACTGGAACTAGCAAAATCTCGTTTTTTCACATCATAATGCGCATTTATTTCGATATCTCTGGACGTACTGATCTGCTGCAGAGTGATTGTTGTTCACGACTTGTTGCTATCATTTCTCTTAAAATTTTAATTTTAGTCAACCAGCTTATGGTATTTTGTTTGATTATTTGCGGTTTTGATTTATTTAATGCAAAGCGAGCGCAGTTAGATTTCAGTGTGTTTAAAATTGAATTTACATTCCGCCGCCGATAAATTTGTAATCGCAGCTACAGCAAACAGAGCATTAAGTATTTAGACGATGCAAATTGAAACTAATGGAATTAATATGGATCCACCCATTGTCCAAAGTGTAAATTGGGATTATTGCAAATACGTTTACTAGTACTTCAACTATAAACAGACGTTCTGTTCTAAAATTTGTCTAAACTATAGCACCCTAAAGTTATAAGCGAACATTATCTGAACTTCTATGGAATGTGACGTTACTTTCCGCGGTTTCGCTACCAGAATTCGATTCCATATCATCATCGCCGTAGTTTCGCATGTTTTTCTTGCAACATTTCAGCTGCGCCATTCTAAAACGTTTGCTTGACCTTCCTAAAATGAACATTAAAACTATCGGTTGACATACGAACAAATAGCCGGAAACCTCTGACAAAGTAATGTAAATTCGATAATACTGGACAAATACTTTTAAATGTAACAATGTGTATATTAGAGTGGACGTGGCAGACATTACAAGTAAAACCTGCGGAATGGAGAAGGCATATTCGGTTTTATGAGCAGCTGGCAGAGGCTTTTTGAATCGTTTCAGGATAGCCAAACTTAATAATATCAGGCAGCAAACTGTTAAACATGTAAGATCGGCGATAAAATATACTTGGGGATACAGTAGCAATATGTCGTGAAACACTAAGAAAAGCACTGCTATTCCAAGTGAAACTAGCAGGAAAAATACTCCCACCCCGTATTTGAATGTAATGGGAAATTTGTTGTACAGTTCTGAATGATAGTTTGGGACATACCAACTAAGGGCCAAAAACGTCAAAGTAAAGTTAATTAAGATTTCGGTGAATCTTTCCAGATCAAACAGCGCTTCAATCGTAAGCCAATACAAATCTGCTGAACACAAAATCATGTACAAACAACTGATAATTGCATAGATTAAAATTATCACGTCTATACGACTTTTTGGCGGGTTTAGCCTGGCGATAATTGCAATTAAATATATATTGCCAGACAAGGCACACAAGCGTATAAGCGCACCGAGGATGACCATAAAATATGTAAAACCACGGTCAGCAAAAATTCGTTCCATCTCTCCTTGCCGAAGTCTGGAAGATATCAGGATATAGTAGTAGACTCACGCAGTAACTTCTCCGAAGACGTTTCTGCGTAATCTACAAACTATAATTAAATTAAACTGATCAGTTCATGTAATAAAATATCTCCAAATTAATTAATTAATTATTATAGAAATGTACACTAAATTTAGCCATGTAATAAATTATGTTTTGGGAAGGAAATTAAGCACAAGCAAAGCACCAATTGAGTTAGGCTTGAAACTGGTGAGTTTTTCTTCCGCTTGAAAGCTTTCAGTCCAGTGTAAGCTTTCAAGTGAAAAACCTTTGAGGATGCAAGCCAGTCGTGCTTGTGAAACGTTGGGAAACATTGGGAAACATTACTTTCCACGACGGCCTAAAAGCCAGAAAAACTCGCCAATCTTTCTCTGCCTCATTGAAAAATGTGTTTACAGTTGGAACAGTTAGATCCTAGTTCCCGATTTAGGGTTAAACAGAGCATTAAAACATCGCAAAAATGTTTGTTGGATTAAATCCACTGAACTAATTAAATTATCTAGGGTAATCCCCGTTTCCGCATTAAAAAGGTGCATTTTTTAAAGGGTCTTCGCCTCTTTAGTTAAGCTGAGGAAATTTTCGCCTTTGAGTGTTATATGAATTAATTTTGAGGCATTTTAAATATCACGTTTTTGCTTTCTACCGAATGAATTTGGGTAATAGACGTTTTTTGCCAGAAAGCTAATTTATTGCACCCACCATTAAGCTGAGATTAATCTTGCATAATAGTCCATAAAAAATACCAATGTATTACAAGCAACCGGGAACTAGCGTAATAATAATCTTACCGTTATCGTTGGCTCTGGTAAAGTCTTCTTTATTCTGAGATCAATTTCCGTCGGTTTTCCCTACAGGTCACACACTATATCTGACGTCTCTCGGACTTTAACTACCAAAATCTCATTCTTTCACATGATAATGCGCATTTATTTTGATATCTCTAAACATACTGGTCTGCTGCAGAGTTGCTATCATTTTTCTCAAAATTTTAGTCAATCCGCTTATGGTATTTTGTTGACTATTTGCGATTACCATTTAGTCAATATAGAGTGAGCGCAGTTACATTTCAGTGTGTTAAACATTTAATTTAAATTTTGTAATCAATGCAACAACAAACAGAACATAAGTCTTTAGACGATGAAAATTAAAACTAATCAAATTAATGTCGATCCACCCATTGTCCAAAGTCGAAATTGGGTTCGTTTCATACACATATAACAATTAATTTGAGAGGGAATTAAGATGTTAATTTCCACTTCTAGAGATTTTATTCAATTTATTTTACACATTAATTATTTTCTATCAACATTATAATAGTATTAGCTAAGGTTGTTGCAAGAAACCTTCTGCAATAAAGCAAAAATAAACAAATCCATTTAACTTTAAACTGCTAAATTAATATTCTGCATTAACTACAACTCTAATCAGTCTTGTTATATCATAAATATCATTCTTTTTGAGGTGACAAAAATTTTGTGATCCAAAAACATATTTTTGTAGCATAAATTTAGAAATTAAATTCATGTTAACAAATTTTCTATCAAAGGATTAGCCACATAAACCTGAAACTAAAATTGATGATACCTTTAAATCTCCTAAAATTACATCCAAATATTTTCCGAGGTTCTATGAAACGTAACATTATTTCCCGAACCTGCGTTAGTTGTTGGACTCACGTCTAGATCATTTTCGTAGTTTTGCAGATTTTTCTTGCAGCATTTGAGATAGGCGATTTTAAAATGCTTACTCGACTTTGCTAGAATGTAGAGAACGACTATGGGCTCAGCTAGATCCAAGCAGCTTGATATCTGCTCCAAATAAACCAGCCGAAATAAAATTTTCTGATAGGTAGAAACTTGAGATTCTATAAGCAATACCAGCACACTCAAGAGAGTAGCCAGAGCAGATATAATAAATACTATATGAGGAATTGAGAAGGCATAGGCTGTTTCTAGGGCGTCCAAAGCGGGTTTTTTATAACGTTTTAGAATAGTGAGGCCTATGAGTATAATAGCGCATAAGGAAAAACAGAGCAGCTCGACAGTGAAGTACATTTGATAATATTTTGCATTTTGGTTGCTGCAGTTTACTATGGAAAATCCTGTTGCTGTAATCGAAATTACTAGGAAACACACTCCGACACCATATTTAAGAACGAGGGGATATTTGTTGTTTAGAGCTGGATGGTAGCTTGGGACATACCAGCTAATTGCTAAAAGTGTTAAGGCAAAGTGCAGCAAAATTTCTGTGAATTTCTCTACGCCGATAAGCAAACAATCAGTATAATAATCAACCGAAGTGAATCTCGCTATGATAGTCACTAGCACTCCTGAAGTTAAAAATCCGGTACTAATAACAGCATAGAGGAAAATCACCCTGTTGATGGTTGTCCTAAGTTTCATAAACCTGATGATGATTACTATTAAATAAATATTACTGATCAAGGCACTCAATCGGATGATTAGACGCACTATTTCGATGATAGTGAAAATATGCAGATCCCAGTAAAGTGAGGTCTCATTTATGTCCTCATCCACATCCAGAGATAGCCACGACGAAGTGGTTAAGTCTTCTGAAGACATTTTTTATTATCTGGAACAAATTTTAAATATGTGTTATATGAAATCAGACTGAAGTTAACTCAATTCATCAAAGTTTAAAATTTGCTTAATTTTTTCGAATACAATTTGCAGTTGTTCGGGATATGTGCTTAGTTTATATCAGCACTAAATGATGAATCCGGGAAACTTTTAACATTTGCCTAGTTTTGGAGCCAGATTTTTTGCATAATCCTATTCTATTAACAGTGCGAAGAGTTTCCCGTTTTGGGGGTCAGTTTTCAATCAATCAAGCTTCTGGGTATTTTCGAATTTTATTATTTTGTTTTGTGCATTCGACGGTTTTTACTACGAAACCTGCACAAAAGAACGGTCAGAATACGGCTAGGCTTTGTGGTATTTAAAAGTTATATAACCATTGCAATTAGGCATTTTCACACGTTTATAGTCGCCTATTTTCTTTGGTGGTTATTTTTTCCTAAATAGGCTACTTGAGCTTTGTCGGCTGATTGCTACAGCCTAAATAATTACATCTGTGTGAAATTAAGCACGGTTTGCTAATGGAGCTCTTATATAATGCCATATAGAAAACGTCTCCAGTTTTTCTGATTTAAATTTAATTCAAGTCTGGAATTGGGTTCTTATAATCTCTTCCAATTCATTATTACTAATTTCTTTATGACCTTTTGTTTTTCACTTTCACCATCTTTGACCGTACTCGATTGGTATTTTTTGCGTTTTGTCATGTTTTTTTTGTTTCTTTGATTAACACATTCTTCTGATTCGTTTAATCAATCATTTAGATGCTTAAAAAAAATGCATGATTCCTGAACTGCACTTTTAGAGGCAAAGGTGGTTGTTTTGTAATTCGAAATACTCTTGATCGAATTTACATTTTTTGAACTTGTTTTTTAACTTACTGTTCGCTTTTCTTTATTAATGTTTAGGTTTATTTATAAATATTCCTTGGAGCATATACCTGTAGACTGTTTTTGATTTCTCCGCAGTTTCTCTCATTTAAGTCCTAAATCAAGTTTCTGATAATGTCTCAGTTTCATATAACTAAGTTTCATTGTACTGTGCGATTAATTAAGTTTTTCTTAGTTTTGTTTTTACTTTTCTCATTACTTATATGGAAAAATAATTGTAAGGCATCCATGAAAAATGGACATTAAGCAAATGGTGCGAATCGAAGATTTTTGATAATTTTTCAACTCCAAAGCGGAAATCGAATATTGAAAACTATACTCAGTTGCTTCAATATTGCATCACTCGTTTCTAATTTCCCACAGCTTTAAAACCTCCCAAATAAAACAAATAAATAAACAACTCAATCAATTCCAGTTTGGCTTTGGCAGTTCTGCATTACTCTTACCCTTCGAGTTAATTCCGGCAGTTTGTTTCAGGTTCCGATTACACCTGATGTAAAATTCAGCAGGTAGCGGGCTCTTCTTTCGACAATCTAATTTACAGAATTTTGCACAATCACAGTCAGCTTTTGCTATTTTAATCGGCTTTTATTTCGATATCTGCAACAAACTGAGCTCACTGGGCCGTTGTTCAAGTGATTATTCTTAACAGCTCGTTGTCATTATTGCTCTTGTTATTTAGTCTATCGGCTTATGGTGAGCGTTCGTAGGTATACTTTTCGATAGTTGATTACTTCAATTTTTTTAAAGCTGACATTAGCAGTTGAAGGACCAAAATCAAGGGTGTTAAGCATGGTTTTACAATGTTCTATTGTTCGGTTGGAATGGTTCTACGAACAACTACCAACTTTGCTTAAATTTTCTTGAAACCTTTAAATTGTATTATCTTTTGGTGAAAATTATTGGGTCTAGGCTCCAAGCTAACGACTAAACAATTTTTTATCAATTAAGTATTGAATAAACTATTTTATTAGGAAATAGTATGCGAAGAAGATGAAGGCCAAAATAGATTTGGGCTAACATTGATCCTCAGGTGGCTGTCTAGTTGGAACCGATACCCAGACTAATTAAGTTGTTTTGTATCGTTTGTGGTTCAGCAAGGAAACACTTCTGTTAGCAACACCGTTTCAAATTGTATAAAAACACGAATATTATGGAGCAACATGTATATTTCCTCATAACAACTTAAACCTATTTTTTAAGCAATCTGCGCACATTCTAACACCTCCTTCAAACCAAACTATCACTAAAGCTGGATTCAGATCTGCATTTCAACTAATTCTGCATTTCTATTAAATGCAATATTACTTTCGGGAACTTCACTATGTGAAATACTATCCAAATCATCATCAGAGTAATCATTCGGTCCGCTTTGCTTGAAACATCGGCGATGGGCCATTTTAAAGTGCTTATTGAGTTTGGACAACAGGAACAACATAACTAAGGTTTCAGTTATTATCACGCAGCCATTTAGAGCTTGAAGAATGATGATAAACTCCATATGGGCACTACGGGATAAAAATGATATAGCAAATTGGAGAATGTAAGTTATAGCGGATATGAAAAAGAGTACTTGAGGAACAGTGATTGCGTACACTGTTTTGCCGATGTTTATAACCGGCTGTTTTATCCGCCTTAGAATTGAGATACCTAGTAAAATTGTACAGGAAAAGACGAAAGAAACCAACTCACAAAGATCCGATGGTTTTAAGTTATCAGTGCTGAGAAACATAATTAACAGCGTACTTATTATTGAAGTTGCTAAAAATCCCATCCCAATGCCGACAATAAATACTGTGCCATATTGATTGAAAAACATTTGATGGTAGCTTCGAACATACCAATCGATGGCCAAGAGAGTTAGACTGTAATAGATGAAAGACATGGCAAAGCCTGCCAGACCAACATACAGAATGTCTATCAAGAGACTGTTGATATGAGCGACTGCATAGGACACAATAAATATATTGAGACGCGTTCTGAGCTTCTTAAATCTAACGATAATCGCTATCAAGTATAAATCGGAGAGTAGTACGATCAATGCAACAATAAGTAAAGTTATAATCGTGATGTAGAGGAGGTCTTCGGTTATTTCCATTGCCAGAAGTTCTTCGGCGCTGTAGTTCTGAGAGGGATCCTTCTGATATGATTTTAGTCGCATTTTATCCTCCTACAAGAAATTTTAAATAATCACAATCATTTCGGGAAACATGTTCCTCCGGCGGTAGAGCATATAAATATGTACGAGATTGACGAATGAAGTAAAAATAGGATATTTTGGTTTTATACTTGCCTACAAATTGTAATTCCAGGTTCTCACAAAAAATGTTTTTGTTTCAATTTCACCAATATATCGAAAGGCAGACTATTCAACCAGCATCTGTTACTGTATGTGTTTATGTTGATATTCGACTGTTGCAAAATGATGATTTCCAGGCAATATGACCAATTAGTCGACCCGCATATTATGATGCTTGCCGGGTTTTAAACCAGCGTCTATTTCAAAGATTTCTGCAGAATATGTCGCAGAATACCCGAAGGCTTTTATGACCCGTATTATGCAAATAGCATACAATCACATACAAAATGGCACACAACTTTAAGTTGCAATGTCTTTATTAAACGTCTTTTATAACTGGTGCTTGGACTAATTCCTGATATGAATTGCATTTTAATCAGCTCAAAAGAACCGTATCATTTGAATGTTTCTAATTTTGGATTTAGACATAATTGAAGCCTTGACTGTTTTAAACGAAGCAGATATGGGACCAGCGTAATTTTGCTATTATGGACAATATACTTGCAAAAAGATTAGAAGGTTGAGATTATCAAATTACATTTAAAAAAAAGTAGCTCGTAGTAACCATTGCACTTTCTGGATGAAACATTGTGATAAGTGCACTTTTGCTTATGGAAGCTGTATTTTTGTTGGATTTTTAATGTCTGAAAGCTCAGAAGGAAGTAACTTCATATGACAATGAATAAAAATAATGAATAAATAAAAATAAAAATGACAATGAATAAAAACGAGTGGAAGATGTTAGACGAGACAAAGAACTAGTCGAATAAAGGATATTTTGCACTTCTTAGCTTGGAAGTCAAATTTAAATTCAATTCAGAAGTTTTTGCTTTAAGCTGCTTTATTTTGGTTTTCTATACTACTTGCTTCGGCATTAACTTGTCTTGATTATTTGCTAACGAAGAAGTGGCATTAAATGGAAATGGATAGAGAAGAGTAAAAGAGGCAGAGGAGGCAAAGAAAAGACAAAATGTATCAAATAATCTACTGAGCAAATCATTAAACAGAATTTACATTTAAAACCCTCAATTTGTTGTCTTCTGTGCTGCTTTATTTTCATTTTCTTTGCTACGGGTTCACCTTGCTCCTGCGTCTTTCGTAATTTGATATCTTCCAGTTTTCTTCCGTACGTGAAGAAAATTCCTTCTTTCAGTTTACTTAATGAAAATACGTGTTATTATTTGCTTATTAGTTTGAAACATATTGTTTTTTTATGATTCAGGTTTTTTGCTTGCGTCTCCCTAATTTTCTGTGTTTCTATGAAGTTTCACCTCTTTCGATAGGTAAATTTTGCCTCATTTTCATTTCAATTAGAAATTGTGCTTTATGTAATACAATCCTGCTGTATTTTCCGCATACGTTGATATGCCAGCAATATTAGTTCTATTTGAAACAGTAAAATAAGGGTTCAATTCCTTTTGCAATTCACTGAACCTTTTATCTAATTTTACTGAAAATACAGATGTCGGTCAGTTCTTTATTGATGCGTCCTTATATCCTACCAAATCCTAAAGTTCGGGACGCTGAAAATCACTGACATCAGTGAAAAATCAAAACAGATATCGATTTTTATGAGACCATTTCTTTATTTTTGTGTTCTTTCTTGTCTTTATGGTTCATTTTTTTATTTACTTCATATGTATATTAACATATTCCAATTGCATTGTTGTCGGTTTCTCCATTTCGAAACAGCCTAAACTTAATTCTATCGAAATTGAAGTTGAGTTATATTTAACGCAATTGAAATTGAACAAATCAAACTGAATTCAAAGTTTAAGCTTTTGAAGCAGATTTTGGGCAATATTTACATAAAAAGTTGTGATGTTAAACCTGTGTACCTAAATATTCTCTTAAATGCAAAATCACTGAGCGAGCTATAGGAAACTTCACAATTATTCAATGCAAGTTTCCAGTTATCTAAATTTTTCTTTATAAAGTTCATTGAATAATAGCAAAAATTCGACTCATATTAAATAAATCACTTAGCAAAAGTGATTTATATCGCACTGTTTGACCTAGTTGGAAGTTGCCTATTGAACTAAGACAACTCCAGTTTGCTTGCGATAACCTCCACAGCTTTTGCTATAATAAAAGTATATCGTTCCACTTTTTTGGTAGTAAAAACTCGAAAAGGTCGGTCGCCATCTGCTTTACTGGATACGATATCCGTCCCCCGGAATATTTTCAAATTTTATGCTCCTATGCCTGCAACGAAAGCCGATTGATTCCCGGCAAAGTTTCGTTTATGGGCTTGGAATCCAGATTCTCACTAATTAGGAGCCAATTTATCCACGCGCTTTACTATCGCAGATTTAGAAGCAATTTCGTTATTTTCTAATGCAAATTCTACATTTTTAATACAGTTGTAGATTTTGTTCTGTTCACATTTGGCTTCTTAAGCTAATTCCCAAATCAACTACAATGATATCATCCATTTTCCGGTTCCAATTGCAAAGACTCTGTGAGCAATTTTACCTTTTTATAGTCTTTGAAGCGAAAATAAACTAATAGGACGTAGGAGTCAATTGTTTCAGCATACAACCTTAGAAAAGCATTACTTTAAAATGCTGCGAATTCAGTGGTAATTGTTCGTGTTTACAAGATGTTCCTCTGATCGCTGAACACAAGTTGGAGAAATAGCGCGCGTGCTAAAGTTTTGAATTGTTTTTCTTAGTGCAGTTTGAAATTAAAGGTAAGTTTTCAAGTTGTTGGTCAATATTTGGGTCTGCAAGATTTATTTGCCCTGATAAACCAGTTAAATCGCGTAATTAATGGGTGTTGCCTGCATGAAGCACAAATGCAATTGCTAATCTATGAAATGAGTCAGACCAGAAAATTATGCAGGTAAACAGGATTATTAACATTTCAGTGCTTTTGGGTAAATATTTCCTTAAAGTGCGTCACAGTAAAAACTGATTGATTTTCAATAAAGTTAAGAGCAAGAGATTTGAGGCAGATTTAGGACAAAAATTCAATCTAATGGTTTTGTGTTGGGCGTCTTCCGCTCTGTGTACCGGGTGTTTCTTAATTAGTGTCCAATGTTTTACAACGCGTTTCCTCTAGTGTTTTTAAGATAACAAGTCCATATAGGCATGAGCTCGCAAAGGTTTTACTTATCGAGCTACCGGTCGTGAAAATATTATTTTTATTTTTTGTTTTTTCTAAATAATTTTTGCAATAACATCGATATTTGAACGAAACTTGGTATTTAGGGGTTTTACAACGAGAAAAATTAAATTGTATGGGGATTTTGCTCTTGCATGCAGAGGGTGCCACCTGCATGTATTTTTGCTTTCGAAGAGTCATAACTTTTTTGTGCATGGTTGCATCAGATTGTTCATCAAACAAATCAATTTTCTATAACTTTTACGTAAAAAAGGTATTCTTGTCAAAAGTGGCTGCCAACAACCGCTTTTGAAATACTTCGATTTGAAGTAATCGACGCCGGCGTTAAAAATGTGTAAATGAAAAAGTTTATAATAAATCTTGCCTGGAAATTCCGAAGGAATCGTCCTGTAAAATATTGGACAATTATTTAAAAAACACCCAGTTCAAACCATGTTTTGAATGTTTAGGTCACAAATCACATCGGACGTTTGTTCCATACAACCAACACTTTATTTTGCCAAAACTTCGGAACTTCCGTGTTAAATTTGCATAAATTCGCGTTGTGGACGATTTTCGTTCGTCGAGTTTTGGAAGCAGACCATCTATGAAAATCGAAGGGACATAATGCAAATTGAGGAAGGAAATAAGTTCCCCAAGTTCCCATTAGCGACCCAAGAGTATTTTTTGAAGTCATTTATATTGCTTATTAATAATTTTTTACGCTGCAGATATTTCCTATTAGTTGTGTAAATTTTGGCAAGTTTTCCATCCTGAATTTTCGATCTTAGACAATAAGTAAACAGACATAAGCAATCAAGCAGATTTATTAAAAAAGGAAAAATCCAAAGCAGTCAACAACTTCTAGCTATCCTTTGACTGTTTACTACAACCATCTGTTTGCTTGTAAATCGGTCCAACTATTCATCAGGTATGAATAATAATGGCGTTTTTTCATTTATTATTTAACTATTCAAGATTAACAATGAAATGCCTTGTAGGATGAAACATCTAATAACTATTAGTAATGTAACGATCGCTTGGAATTCCAAATAAATATATTACTCACGTGTCAAGGATGAGCGCATCAATAATAATTAAGAAGTATTTTGATTTATTTGTTGTTTTTCTATTCGCTGCTATGAGAAGGAAGTCAATGTTTGAGAAAACAATTTAAAAATTTTCTTTATGTTCTTTGCTTTGTTTGATAAACGTTGTCAGTAATCAATGTAAAGAAAATCTATTTTCAGGCTGAGCTAATCATGTACGTAAACCGATCGTTTGCACTGCTGGGAGGCGAAACCAACTACTCGCATGCACATCATGAAATCCACGACGACGCCTCGACTAGAACCTTCAGGCTGTCCACGTTCTTCATCAGCATTCCCATCTGTTTGGTGGCTGTTCTAGTGGATTTGCTGCTGATTTTCATGATCCTGCGGTACAAAGCGTTCAAAACGCGCGGCAACTTCTACATCCTCAATTTCTGCATTTGCAACATCTTATTTCTCATCGCTGAACATGTGCTTCATTTGTCAATGGATCTGTTCTTCGGCGGAAGTTTGGAGATTGGATGGTACTGCACTTTCATCCAGCTGGAGAACTATTTTCTGGACCTGGCCATTGTTTTTATAACAGTTTATACGGTGGATGAATACATCGGCATGGTGGCCAGCGATTACATCAGCTACATGTACAAGAACGGCTTTAAATACGTAATCGGTTGCACCTACTTACTTCACTTAATTTTGGGGTTCATAGTATCGAACGTTTGTTTCTCCAGCTCAAAGGACATCAAGTTCCACATCAGCTTTATCTTTATGACGATCGTCTACGCCATTTGTTGGGCAGTTATTGCAAAAATTAGATATGATTGTCGGAAAACAGCTTTCAAGAATAATAAGTATCTGATTCAAGCGCTGTCTGTGACTCAGCTAACGCTTTTGTTTTTCCTACCAGTGGTATTTTACTACAACGTTCTGAATATTGCCGAACGAATAGTCACTGACGATAATCTGGATGTTTTACGATCATTGGCAGTTATTGCCGAATATTTGGCATACAGTGCCACATTTGGCCTCGCCTATAAACTGTTCAAAGTCAATAAGTTTTACCGATTGGCCTTTTGCAAGATATTCCGCAGAACCAATCAGGATCTGGATTTCAGCCGATTGGATATTGTTCCCGAAGCAGACATTGATAAGAAATAGCTCCGGATAGTTAGAGGACTAAACGCTAAAAATATTTATTGTTTCATATTTTCGCAAATAAACTTGAGGATTTGATGCGGATTTCATTTCAAGCACCCAGCGGTACAAGTTTGTCCATATAGCACAAAAGGGAAAGTCGGCAATTACTTGCTCCCTTTTGCAATTTGCAGCAAAAGAAAATGCTGATATTGGACTAAATGGAGCTTTTTGTACTGCGGCAAAAAGTGATATACTACAGCCAACTAAAGGTCAGAGACTTGGGCTTTTTCGACTGTTTCAAATTTAGGCCATGATCTCTGGTCAGAATTAAATTAAGCCAATTAATTTTGCCAAGGATCATTTAAGAATAAATTATATTTTATGAAAGTGTTCTTTTATTAAATTTTAATAGTTTTTTGTATAGACAAACGTTGATGCTTATATTTTATTTCATAGAAATAGAGCTAAATAACTCAGGCTAAGTAAGACACCCTTCACTCAAGAATAAAATACATTTTACGAAAGTGTTCTTTTATTAAGTTTTAACTGTTTTTTTTTTTCATAGACAAACGTTGATGCTTATATTTTATTTCAGGGAAATACAGCTAAATAGGCCAGTTTAAGTTACACCTCTTCACTCTCATTGCAAACCTTTTATAATTTGTCTGGTGATGAAATAGTCAGTTTCTATCAATTTCACCATCCTGTAGAGCTGCTTTTTTTGTTATTTTATCTTTAGTGATAGGCAACACAGATGATAGATTTTTGTTTGTTCATTAATGTAAATGATTCTATTCTGAGCTCATTCAAAGTAGTAACTGAATATATTTTTCTACGCTTTAATTGAATCTTCACTTTTCATCTAAGTTTTTTTGCGTCGTTGGTTAGAATTTCTCTCACTTTTGCATTTATTTAGAACTCAAAGAACTTCCTTAACTGTTTTATGTGCATTCATGTACAGTTATTGAGCCAAATTTACGTTCACGATTTCCAAGATCTGTCAACACTTTAACACTCCATATTTTCATTTTTTTAGCCCTCACATTTCTTGTTAATCTCCTTGTATTTGGCCTTATTTTCAACAGAAAAAATCACTTGTTATCTATATATTCCTGATTTGTTCCGTGTCCAGTTTTCAGCAGCTGTTTCTTGTGGATACAGTGGCTTTTTATTATCATTCCAGTGTAAGTCTATCATCTCTTGCCACATTTTCTCTATATTTGGATTTTCTTCCTTATTATGAATAGGAAAACACAAAATTATTGTCCTTTAGCTTAGTAAGATCGTGTCTCTGCTTCATTCATTGAAGATTCAACCTCATGACTGATAGGAGTAAGTTGTGAGCTGCAGAAATATCGGCGCCAGGATAGGAAAGGTTTTTATCCATTTGGTGTATGGATTTTCCATATGATTATTTTTTCATTTGGTGCCTTCAATGTCCAACATCTGTAACTGAAACTGATTATTCTTCAGCGAGGTTTGATTGTTCTTACTAAACTGGAAAATCTTTAGCTTCTGTCGCTTCATATTTCGAGCAGAAATTTTCCAACTTTCTTTTACAACTGTGGCATTAAAATGGCCCGAATTAAGGTATTCATCATTATTTTGATTTTAGTCTATTTTCGAACACATAGTACATTGAAGGCAACTAAATAGGAACCATTAAGCAGTTATTTTGGCTGGAAATTTGAGTTTTATTAAAATGACCGACTATTATGAAATGAACACTTTATATTTTTATGGCCAACTAAATATGTGATATTTATGCAAAACAAGCAAAAGCGCCCTTTAATATCATCATTTCAAAGTTATCTTTCCAAAACTGTATTTTACTTTACTTCTCATAGTTTAACTATTAATAAGAAATTAATAAGAAAGAAAGGAACTCATATAGCTTGGATAGATAATGTAAAGTTAATGGAATATTTACGTGACAGTTTTATCTAAAACAATTGTACTTTTTGGGTTAATGGTTTTTAACACTTTTCATCAAGTGAAGCTGAAAGTTCTTTTTAATTAAAAATGTGTCTTTCTCCTCCCTGAATGATTTTTGTATTTCGACTTCAAACTCAATTTTGTTCAGATATGACTAAATGCTCAAATACTTTGTCCACCGAATTTCTTTTACGGTTTTATACATATTTGCCAAGAAACTGAGCAGTTTATGCTAATTTAATTAAAAGATCACCAGCAGAATCACCAGTTAATTTTGAAAATATTTTGGATGGTAAAACACAATGTTTTTACTAGCGGTGTATTTCCGTTTATAGTGTTTACAAATCATAACAAATATTGCAAGACTGAAAAATTTCCGTAACATTAAAAGCCTTGAAAAGTAAACCACTTTCATATTCATTGGGCCATTGAAGAGAACAGGTTTAAATCGGTGGGTACTCGGAGGAAGAATCAAGCAAATGTTAATTCACATAAACCAGCCGTGGTTCCAGGTTAACTGCTGCAAAGCCAACGGACGTGAGTCAGTGGAAACTAAATATTTACATTTGCAAATTAAGTGCGTTGTTTCATTTAAGTGAAATTCAGAAAATGTTATCAGCAGGTGCCCCATTACGGTTGTGGTGTTTCTGGGACTACAAGCTGAGAATTAAGCACAGAAATAAGGTAAATACCGAAAAATTGACCGACGAAGCTCGCAGGACAGTTTTGTTCAACCAGACCAAAAGTTGCACCCACATTCAGTTCTTTGCTCTTAACATCTTAAGTAAAATGACCCGAATTAACTGTCTCATTAACTCCTTAGCCAATTTGGCCGTCACCAGATGCTGATTGTTGAAAAAGCCCTCGAACATTGTCATGTTTCGCATTAGCCTAAATCAGGCCTAATAAATGGACCACTATTGTGGCTCAATTAAACAGTGTTGTAATTGAATTCGGGTTAAATTGAGTCTGCCTGAAGTCATCACATTATATTGCATAGAGTTTGCCAGTCTAAATAGACATGATGTGAGGCAATTGAGCGCTTAAATTAATAGACCGCAGGAATTATTTCCAGTTATTTTATTTAAGTTAAGATGTGCCTTAAGTTTAATCGGTGGTTGATGGTAGCGCGGCGCCTGTTTAGCTTCAAATCGTGAAAAAAAGTTAATGAAACCCAACCCGCAATTAAGCGATGCAATTAGCTCATCTTCAGTTAACATCTTTGTGGATTAAGTCTGTTGTTGTCTGAACAGACACGCAGGTACCAAGATAAGAAACGAGAAGCATCTGCCTGGTGCCTGGTTCCACAGGCCTGAAATGCGTAGGCACCAGTTTCAGACATATTTTTAGAGTAAAGGTCAATTCGGTACTTCGATTCTCGAGGGTACTGTTGCGTGGATTTCGTGTTTATGAATCAGTGATAGTTTTAATTGTTTTGTGGCTAGTCGATTGTTTGGAAGGACGCTCAATTGTCGTTAGTGAGTATAAACATTGTGAGTTGTCGTTTGAGGTAGTTAATATCTAGAAGTTTTTCAATAGAAGGAAAAAACAATGCATTAATGTCGGAAGAATTTTATTAAAGGTGGTAAAATTGTCTTCAATAAAGGAGAACATGATTGAAGTCGAAAGTGGGGTTTCGTGGAAATATTATGGCAGTTACAGGAACTAGTAACTGAATTTTTGATTTTTTAAGTAAAAATTATATATCTTCATTAATTTCCATTTAAATAAACTTTTCCTAGTTCACTTAATGGGTTTTTAATGTATAGTGCAGTGAACCTACCACATGAACTTTAAACTCTTATGCTGATGTTTCGAACATACACTCAAGCACGTACAATTTAATTAATTTCCAATAAAACGTCTTATCTTCAATCTTGTACACTCAAACTGCACCATACAGGGTGTTTACTAAACCATATGTAGTCAATTTTATGGTTTTGTCTTGCCATCCTGGACTGTTTAATATTATTTGTATTAGTTATTTCAACTATTGTTTAGCCAAAGAAAATGTAGCTTTTACTGCTCGGTTTATAATAGAATTGCTATTCGAAAACTTGAAAAGGCAGTTGACTTCAAGTGTCCAAGTGACAAAATCCAATTGAGTTAATTGAGTGGCCACCGAAGTTTCCGGATTTAAATCCTTTGGACTTTCAAAATGCAGGTACATTTTCTAAGGTATTTCTATATTCCTGACAACTCGTTGAACTGTTTTAATGTGATTTGCATCTTTTTGATCAATTTGCACTATTGTTTAGCTGAAAAAAATGTACATACTGCCCATGTTGCAATAAAAAATTCCTTTCCATAACTCTAATTGTTGAAAAGTCAATTGAGTTCAAGTGAGAGACAAAGTCAAATTGAGTGGCCACCAAAATCTCCTGACTTCAATCTTGTGGACCTTTCTCTTTGTAAGCATTTGAATAATTAAACGTAGGTATGATTCAAAACGTATATTATCCAAAGTTTCAGAAGCAATTTGTAATAAATCAGATAAGAATTCCTGACAATTTTCGTGGAGTGTTTGGATGTTATGTGCTTTCCTTTGATCAGAAGCAGAGACATAAAACTGTACATTCTGCTCGTTTTGTAATCAAAATTTCCATGGCCACCAAAGTTTTCAGGCTCAAATCCTTTGTATTTTTTGTCGGCAAGTGAAAAATTGAATTTATGATTCAAAACCCGAGTCAATCGAAAAACCTGTATATCGTATTGCGGATTAATGCTGAAGAACTTCAGATATACTGGCGAGTATGTCAGCTTAATTATTTGCATACAAAAGTAATGCCCTAAAAGTAAATTTTGAGTATTGGAGCGTTTCCATTTTCCTGCCCAGGAGTTTTCCATTATTTCGCTATCCTTCAGATTTGGCTGAAAACCGTGCCAGTTTCAGAAAACACACATTTTTTAAAACTTGAACTCCTTAGCATACTTTTCATTAAATATTTTAAGTCCAAGAAAGTGCTTTTAACCGTCATCTTTTCATTGAAAAGCAGTTTTGAATATATAAAATCTTCAAATTCCCCGTAATTCCAGTATAAGCACAAAAATACACTAAACAGAAAAACAAGGAAATTCCAGCTTATAATATAAATTCAGTATTTACCGGGACTAACAATAAATTGAAAGATTTAAATTAGTTGTGAAACTAATTGTGCATAAACATCTGAAATAAACGGTTTACATTTACGATTCAAATTTCTTGTTTGTTTGTCAAGCCCGCGCTGATGTCCGAATACATTTCTTGAACGGAAAATCCTTAATAAATGGTTTTGAAGTAGAAAGTTGGAAATTGTAGAAACAAAGCCGAATGGAAAGGAAATACGATGGCTTATGCGAATTGCTTTCCATTAAATAAACATCTTCTAGATAAATTGCTGGTTTGCTTTCGGCTTAATCGATATTTTTTCTCTCTACAAACTGAAGAATTTTACCGCTACACCTGGATAATTCATATGGCAATAATTGATTATTTCAAGTAGGTACTTGAATTAATCTGTTACGTAATACTGCCACCTATGTAGTGAATAGGAGCGATTTAATATCACTTATTAATGTTGCAAAAATTCCATCCTCCATCCAACCCTCAATGCACGTATTAAAAATCTAAACATTTGATTTAAAATGCAACAACTCTCTATTACAAATTAAGGACAGTTGCACTCAAAACCTATTGCACTTTTGAGCTATAAATTTTATATCTTTCTGTTATGGTCCATTTATTTGTAACATTATCTATATTGACACACTATTAGAAGATAACTTACACCCACTGGACAACAACGCTATCTAGGAGCAAATGCCCACTATGTTTGAGTTACGGCCAATAATTAACTAAATAGTTTAAATATTTAATTTAATAGGGCTGAAAATGTGGGATTTTCCGAACGATCAAGGAATTTTTTAAGCGCGGCTAAATTAATTTTACTGTAGAGAATGGTGATACCCTTATGAAGATGCTATTGTGCGAAATTACTATGCAAAAACACTGCAACTTCCAACTAATTACGATGATTTTTTAAATATTTGCTCATTGCTTAACACACGTGGACATTTTTACAATTTAACATCATCCTCGACAAGTAAGCAGCGATAATAAAATCAAATGTCTCCAAAAGTCCATCAAAAATTGTAACTTAACTATCAGATTTGGGTAGAAATTAAAAATAATGTTGCCACTAATTGAACTTTTTTAAGTGTTGCTTATCAAAGAGATATTCGGCTTATGAAGTGGCAGGCGATAAGCGAATTCAATATGTATTTGTGTAGTTATTGTCTACTGTTTGATAAATCAGAAATATTCAGTGATTAATTAGATGAGCACCAGCAGGTTAAAAAATGCCTAATATTTAGGCGATGCTTGTAGCTGGTGGTGTGCGCTAGTTAAAATTAGTAGGGAAGATAAATTGAAAGTGAATAGGACAGAAAAACTAGAGAGTAAGTTGAAAGTTGCCCATTAAACAATCGATTAATTTTGATAAACTTCTACTTTAAATCCTACAAAAAAGTAAAACCTGCTATTACTCAACTCGAGTATCTGTCTAGTACTAATTCTAATTATCAGGTTTAATTTGTCCGTTTTGGTGCCACTCTTTGATGAACGAAGTGTCTATTTATTCCTGATACTCATGACTGATTTGAAAATAAAGAACAGTGCTTCAAGCAAAAGAAGTAAATTGAGCGACAATAATCTATTTTTAGGGAACAAATATTGACCCAATTACATGAAGGATTTGAAAGAACAAATCTCGGAATAAAGGCAGGTCTTTGGCCCTCCAACGGTCTAAAGTTTCCGAATTAAATGATTAGCCGGTAAAGGGAGAATTTTGTTGATTCAAGTTCGGGTTGAAGGAGAACGCTGTTGCCCGTGTGCACCGAAACGAAAATTAAATTTTTCTCTTGTATTAGAAATGAAAATTCTTTATTGATTTTGGGGGCGTTTAAATTACATGGACATATTTTTTTATCTTAGCAAATGCTGTATTGAACTCGAGCACAAAGTGCCTGTTAATGAGCATGGATATTAAACTGCAAGTTCCGTCGTTGTTATTTTCCTTATTTTAAACAACAAAGCGCATCATCGTCTAGATTAGATAATTTCTTGCCTGATAAAAATTAAGAGTTCAGTCAATAATTTATGCATGTTGAGTGAGTTTATACAAATTGTTAAGGAAGGTTGCAAGTTAAAAAGTTTGAACCACGTTTATAATCTTTTGATCACAGTCATCAATGTCGACAATTTAGTTTAATGAATTAACGAAGTGGAAAAGTAGATTTAGTTAATTGGGAGCAATATTTGTTTGCACGTTGGCTTGGGTAAGAATATTTAAATACCTATATATGATTTACTGTTGTAATTATTGTTTAATTTTATGTTTCTTTTGCTTCACATACATTTTGATTTCTGTTGCAATAACAGATTTGCGTTCAAGTTTGCATTTATTACCCAGACGGAAATATTCCACTTGCTAAGTGAAATTGAACACTTTCTGTAAAACGCTTGTTTAGCTAGTTTCTTTTAAATATAGAATTTAAGACGAGAACGAGACGCTTTGATGGCAATTTTTGTGTATTGAATTGATAAGATAAGCCAATCCGGATAGTTGAAAAGTTAGGTACGCAATCTTGGGAGAATTTGCACGAGAAAATAAATAAAAAGACACAAATGATACGAAATGTGCGTCGTTTTGGGGGATTAAGTGACTTGAACTAATTTAAATAAAACAAACATTTTTTGGGGATTTTAGTCAGTCAATATTTTGCATCAAGCATTTGCAGAAGATAAATTATGTTCTTGCGTGATGTTTTTTATCTGTTTAGTATTCTATTGCTTAAGAAAAATGTGGAATAAAATTGGTCGTTTTCAAATGTGAAAATTCAACTTTATAATTTGGCGTCGGTTGGATTCGCTTCAATTCGAAAGTGTCTTAGAAAAACTTTTTGTAATCTTTGTAGGTCATGTTCAGCTTATTATTTGCATCCTTTTGTTTTTTATTTTACTTTCTATTTGACGTCCTGTTGTTCATTTCTGTTTTTTACTACAACAGTTTAATCATTAGAATCGAGAGAAACTTTGAGGTATTTTCCATATATATGTACATGGTGTTCGAAAGAAAAGGGGGCATATTATTGAAAATAAATTACGTGTTCCTTTAATAAGTTTTAATCAGTCATGTGAAATTTGACCAAATAATCGGTTTGTTACCGATTTTTTAGATTTTTCCCGTAAATGCCAAACAACGTCGATCTAAACAAGGGCTTTTTAATGAACATTTTAAGCGGTATCAATTTTTTAAATATCTGAGCGGAAGTCAAAGCTTTGTGGCTTCAAAGACCAGAGGGTTAAGATTCAATTCCACGTTTTAGAAAAATTCAATGTAAACAATTTAAAATCGTATTTGTGCCATTATTGGGTGGAAAATGACATCGGCAACAAACGCAGAATGAAAAAATTAGAATCAAGCTTAACTATAAAAAATATTAGATTGAGAGGATAATTTAATGCTTTGAACGCAAGTCTTCGATGGAACAATTTTTTCGAATTTCGAATAAAAAACGAAAACCCTAAGAAGAAAGGAAGTGGGGGTGAAAACCCGGACTAGAATTCAATAAAGTTTTGTTTTTAATTGCAAGGGACTGTAAAATGTGGAAAGAGACAGGAAGTGTTTTAAAATAGAACATTTTTTCCTTTTATTTTTTACTGCTTTTCACAGTTTTGTGACATGTTTTCAGGTACTCTTACCGTGATTGTCGAAGGGGCTAATAATATTTCGAATAAAAAAACGTTTGAATTACGCACACTAAACACAAAAATTATTTTACTAAAAATCCTATGCGTTGAATGCGACTATTAATATATTAATAACGACATTTCTGTTTTCAATGCATAGTCGCTTTCGTTAAAAAAAAGCCGAATCAGTGTGAGAAAGCTTTCAGCCAAAAAATAACAGCAATTTATATGCTTGAACTTTAACACAACTCCAAAATTGATCATTAGAGTTTGGAAATATAGAGAAAAGTAGCAAAAATGCCTACCATTTAAATAAATCCTCCTTAGAACCTACCTATAGATAACCAAGTCATAAAAATTCGTAGATCTCATATTTTGCAATGAAACTCACCGAACGGTTTTCTTAAGTATTCCTGAACTGAATATAAGGCAGAATCAGATTAGATTTTCAAATGACTTCATAAACTTGGGAGTTTTACTGGGCAGTAAACTCAAATTTAAAAAGCATGCAGCTGTTGGTGAAACGAAGGTTTTCTTGTAATTTCCTTCTGTTCCTTGTCAGTACTATAAACTTTTTCAGTCTTTTATGTCCTTTGTTATTCCATCCGTCTATACTCAACTTTCGTTTATTTTCTGTCTTGTTTTGCATATTTAGTTGTTCAAACTGGGCTGTGTCACTAGCTATTTATCTCTGTATCCGAGGCTTTCATATTTAGCGAAAAAGCTGTGCTTCGAGTAAAGTACTCTGTGTGGTATATTTAGGTTGCATTGAAAGTTTTAAAAAAAGTTTGCATTGCAAGTGAAAATGTTCTTTTCAATTTCGCTCAATTTTTTACTGTCAAAAATTCAGTTTTTTTTATTTTAGCCTTAAATTCAATCATTTTTAATTTTATATCATAATAATTAACATCAGGCTTTTTTAATTTGCTCCTAATATCCAAAAATATAGAACGCTTTTTCGGTTTATTTTTCCTCTAAAGCTTTTTGTTTGGATCTATAGAAGTTTGCCATATATTTTTTCTTCCCTTATTTGTTGTATGTATGGATAATTTGTAATACTTAGTACTACATTATTTCTTGCGATGCTCATTTGCAACATATTTTCAGTGTCTTGTAGAACAAATTCTTACTGAATTTGTCACTTCTCCATCTCCATTCTCTTTCAAAACTCTCATAAACAAGTAAGGAAGGTATCTCTTTTGATTGGCTTTAATTAACAAGATTTCTGGTCTCTGGAGCTTGAGACGTTTTTTGTTTGCTTTTATTCCTTGAAATTGTTGTAATTTTTTGTCTGATAAACATTTTTAGCCGCTCAAACGTAAATTGTCGTTTGATTTTTATAGAATGTGTGAATAGAATCAATGAATCCAATTGTTCTATTCAAATTTAAAAAATTCAAACGAAAACAGAAATGTTTTCAATAGCATAGTCGCTTTCGTTAAAACAATGCAAAGTCCAATGAGTGTGACAAAGCTTTCGGACAAAAAATTACAGCAATTTATATGCTTAAACTTTAACAAAAGCTTCAAAATTGATCATTAGGGTTTGGAAATATGGATAAAAGTAGCAAATGCAATAAGAATTTTTTCTAGAACACACTGAAAATATGTAGCGAAAGAGAACCGCAAGAAACAATGTTGCATTCAATGTCACATATTATCCGTACCTAAAACGAATAATGGAGAAAACACCCAAGGAAGTAAAAATGTATGGCCAACTTTTATAGATCTAGAGAAAAAGCGTTAGACGAAAACTAAAGCGAAAAAGCGTTTGGCATTTTTAGATAATGAAAGAAGGAAATAGAAATACAGAAGAAACACTGCTTAAGTTGGATATTTCTTATAGAATTTCTAATTTAGCTAAACAACTTTTTTCGACTGTTAAACTTAATAAAATGGACAGAGGTTGAACTGTTTCAAAAAAATTGAAGGAAATTTTGTTAAAAATCAGCTGAGTACTGAAGAATTGTAGAAAGTAAAAATGTTGACAATAAATAATTTGCATTCTAATCCAACTATCTTTTGCAGCTCTCCCAGTGACTGATGATGGAGTTATCCAACAACACATTTGCTGAAACGCTGGCCTCAGATGAAGGCTACGGCTCAGCAACCAGCTCATGGGATGTGCTAAAGGCTGCGCTTTGTTTGTTGTGCGGATTGGCCAATATTCTAATTATCTACGTGATTGCCAGAAATAGTGCTTTGCAAACGCGCCCCAATGCCTATTTAGCAAATTGGTGTATTAGTAGTTGTATTATTTTGATATTATCGTCCACACAATTGGGCCTATTTGGAAGCACTGAGGACATCAGTTATGAGTTGCTGTGTGTTACCGAAGAAAGTCATTATGGAATGATCATTCCCAATTTGCTTTTTGTATTGGTGTTATTTTTGGAGTGGTACTCGGGTTCCTACGGAAGGCCATGCTGTTTGACCAGCAGATTGGGGCTTGTTGCCATTGTAGCCCTGATTTGGACTGTAGCATTGATCATCTCAGCTGCTTCGGCCACTTTTTGCATCCTCGACATGAGTTATCCGCTCTCCCTAATCAGTTTCAACTTAGTTTATATCTCAGTGTTTGTTGTTATTATCTTTGTTCATGGTCTTAGGATAATTATGATTAAGATTTTCAATAAACCTCCAGTTGAAAACAAGTTGGAACTGGTCCTGGTAACTTCCTACTTTTTTTGTTGGCTGCCAAACTTTCTACTGATTTACGGCCAAATGTTCTTTGGATTTTCCGTCAGTCCCACCTTGGAATTAGTAACGTATTTTTGTGGATACGCCCATTCATTCGTTATGCTGATTTTACTGTACTTCTGTGATAAATGTTTCAAAATGCATCTCAGGGATCTTTTCGGGTTAACGGAAAAGACACCGCAATCCATTTTACATAAAGAGCAGAACACAGGACTGTTGTAAAAAGCACAGTGATGTTAGATTTTAATTAGCAAGACTGATATTAATGGTATTTTACAGTAGATTTAACATGTTTGAATGTTATATTGCTCTGTTAGTACGTGCCCATGACCAGAATGTTTTCTGCATTTTTTTTGAAGAATTATTGTAATTGTTAATGATTAGACTGACATTTATAGAGCAACAGCTACCTGATGTTATATGTTTGATACTTTTAATTCACTATATATTTTATAGTAAAATTTTTATTTGTACCTAATGGTGTTTTTTATTGTAGTTTTTTTTTAGCAAGTTTTTTTAGTTTTAGTAAGTTTTACTAGGCGTTTTACTAGGTTAAGTGAAAAATATGCCCGAATGATGGCACCAGAGTATAGTTACATATTTACTCTCGAATTATGCCCAAAGGTTTTAAGAATACTACGAATGAGTAGTAAACAATCTGCTGTTGAATTGTCTTTTATTTTAACTGCGGTGCGAAAGATCGCAGCAAATTTGGTTTTCGGGTGAATGCTACTGATGCTGTAAATCTGAAGATAAAGAAAAATGGCGGAGGCTGCTAAAAACTCAGGAAAATTGGATTGTATCAATTCTGATGAAGCAAATTAATTTTTTTCTAGATCGTTTTCGCCTTGAAGGTGTGATTCTTCATGGTCTGTACTTTATAGTCAGTTATTGATTGACGCAATATTATAGCTGAAGCTATGGTGAAAGAAAGCTTTTGTAAATGAGAGTGTTTAATGTAAATTTTCTAAAAGAAGAATTAGAAGCACTTTATTTTTCGCAGATTGATAATGTTTGATTATAATTCTTAATTTTAAGAAGCAGGGGATGATTTCGTAAGTTTTGATGAAAACTAATGAAAATGAAAAATATATAAGCAAAGAGAACAAGCAAAATGAGAAGCATTACTTATTAGTTGAAAGGCTTGAGCAATTACTTTTTCAACTTTTTTTCGTTCTTTAGTAATTTTTGTTCATATATCTTAATAAACCGAGCAGAATTTTCCGGTCAAAATTGTGTTAAACATTTTCACGAAATTTGTTCACGTTGTGTAATGACAACTTTCTTGATATTTGAATCTTGATAATGTTGAATAATATGTTGAATCTTGATATTTTGATTTTCAACAAAATACTTAAAACACAATGCAATAAAGCGTATGATTAACCTTTAATAAAACGTTTGTTTTTGCTCACCAAAACGCATTTTTTTCGAAAACTGCTACCTTTAAAGCAATAAACGTTCAGAACGTGCTGCCAAAATGTTAATATTTCGATTGGCATATATGTAAATTAGGAGGGAAAAATCATAAGATACCTTGACAAATCTCCACCACCGTGGGCATTTTTCTGAATGACTTTATCAAATATTCTGCTAGATGAACTCAAGTTGGGTGCGAAAAAAAAATGTATTCCTATAATTGAAACGGTTTCTAAATTATTGGTGAAATGCTTAAAATAAATTAAATTTTATACACTTTTGCGTATCTGGAAAGCAACGGGACCGAGAGAAAAATGGAAAAAAGAAAAATTAATTTTATGAGAAATCTACAGTTTTCCGATGCGGAATTTATTCAGGGACACCTTGCATACATAATACAGAGACCAACTAAAAATAATAATCATTGTCATAAATACATTACTAGTAAGAAAGTTAAAAATAAAAAGTAAAATATAGTGATTGAAGGTTTAGAGTCGACAGACACCAAAGTAAATTAAACAGTTCAACTCACACACAACACAAAATGGAAGCAATGAACTCTAAAGCTAAATTAAGAAAGCATCATAACAAAATGGAATTAGTTGAAGAAATTTATCAAAAGAATTCAACAATTTTAAGCAATGAAAGCAAACAAAAAACGTCTAAAGCTCCAGAGACCAGAAATATTGTTAATTAGATCCAATCAAAAGCGATTCCTTCCTTACTTGTTTATTAGAGTTTTGAAAGAGAATAGAGAGAAGTGGCAAATTCAGTCAGAATTTGTTATACAAGACAGTGAAAATATGAAGCAAATAAGAATCGCAAGAAATAATGTAGTACTAAGTATCACAAATTATCCATACATACAACAAATATATGGAAAAAAATATATGGCGAACTTTTATAGACTATTTTACAGAATTTTATGTCTAGGCAAAAAAATTTAGAGGAAAAATAAACAGAAAAAGGGTTCTATATTTTTGGATATTACGAACAAATTAAAAGAGCTTCATGTTAATTATTATGATGATATAAAATTAAAAATGATTGAATTTAAGGCTAAAATAAATAAGAACTGAATTTTGTAACAGTAAAAAATTGAGTGAAATTGAAAAGAACATTTTGACTGGCAATGCAAAACATTTTTTAAATCTTCAATGCAACCTAAATATATTACACAGAGCAATTTACATGAAGCACAGCTTTTACGCTAAATATGGAAGACTCGGATACAGAGATAAATAGCTAATGACATAGCCCAGTTGGAATAACTAAATATGCAAAACAATACAGAAAATAAACGAAAGTTGAGTATAGATGGATGGAATAACAAGGGACAGAAAAGACTGAAAAAGTTTATAGTACGAGGGAAATGACAAGAAAATCCTCGTTTCACCAACAGGTGCATGCCTTTTAAATTTGAGTTTACTGTCCAGTTAAACTCCCAAGTTTATGAAGTCATTTGAAAATCTAATCTAATTCTGCCTTATATTCAGTTCAGGAATACTTAAGAAAACCGTTCGGTGAGTTTCATTGCAAAATATGAGATCTACGAATTTTTATGACTTGGTTATCTATAGGTAGGTTCTTAGGAGGATTTATTTAAATGGTAGGCATGTTTATTGCACTGCAGCAATGCACGCAAACCTGAAGTGAATGGATTACATAGAAGTAGAGAATTGCTAAAGGTTTGAAACATCTAAACGAGAATAAAAAGTACAGGGTCACTAAGAGTATTGATGAAATAACAGCAAAACTGTGCAGCAAACTGTATTTAAAAACTGATTAAGAGTTTTTAAGCGCTTCTTCCTCCGATAATGAACAGCATTGCCTGCATAATATATTAATTGATTAAAATATTCCTTCGAAAACCCGCTTTAATGCTTTCTTGTCTTAGGAGAGTTTTTAAGTTTTTAGGACAACTTTGCAACTCCTTCTATAATATTCAACATCTGTTTAATTCGCACGCAAAATCTTTCTCCTCCAAATAGTCCGCATTATGTCTATTTCAAACAAATTTGCAGAATGTTTACTAGGATGGAAGCTAATAGGTCAAACCTGGCAATATTGGGTTTTGTGGTCGGTAAACCAAAGCGGACAAAGAGTAAATAAAGCTTTCCAAATCGCATATAAATTATGAGTTGGCTGCTACAATGGAATGTTTAATTAACTTGAAATGTGAGAAAGGGTGCGTGCTGGGGGAGGCTTTTCGATAAAGCTGTACTATCTCGCATATTCAGAGCAGTTTAAATTCGATGGGTTTAAAAAATATATTTTATGGATTTAAATTATTTCATTATGTAGCCGAAGTTGTTCTTTTTCAAGAAAATCAATTTAGAACTTCTCTAGTAAACAGGCTGAGAGGGGGCTTTGTTAGTGAGCAACTTGGACTGAAAACATAATAAAAGTTTCCCTGTTCACGTAAATTCGCTTTTAATAACTGATGTTAGTGTCTTTTTAGTGCTTTCGAAGCATTGTGCTTAAAGTCGAAGCTAAAAGTTTAATTGACTTTCAAGTAAGTTAACTGCAGAAGATAGGCGCGCTCAATATTTAGTATTTGAGTAAAATCAATATTAGCTGCTTATTCGCCCAAAATCTACTATTAAAGTTTTACTCAACTTCAAATGGGCTATTATCGGAAAGCGTTTGGGGATGGCCGTTTTATCTAGCTAAAATCGATACAATATTCCCCAATTAGTCGGCTTGTAGCGTTTCTCTTTCAGCTGCGAAACTTGCAACTGCTTTCAGCCAGAGATTCAGTGAGAATATTCTATGAATTAAGCTGCCATGCTTTCATTAAGACCTGTTTCTTCCAGTTTCACTCCCTAATTTATTCGGGGGAATGCGATAGCGTTGACCCCGCATTTGAATTTTAAATATTACAGAGAGCAACTTTGCCAATTAGAGAGGCTCTGCTTAATAAAGTGGCATTACTACAGGCTTGGAATCATTAAGAACTTGATAAGTATCATTAGTGAATGTTTGAAGGAATTATCCACGAACTTTTGCAGTAAACACTTATTCAGGTGTGTTTGTGTTATTGTATGTTATGTTTAAGGGTTTATTCAAATGTTTCACCGTACTTGTTGGTATGAAAACATCCGAACGTGCTTTTTCCTGCCCCACAATTTTTTTTTCAGTTTTATTGTTGCCTATTCTCTAATTTCAAATTTAATGCCGTTGCTTGCGTGTTTCTCTTTGTTCGCAAAGCGAACCAAAATAATTTACTAAACCAAAGAATATAATGAATTTCATACATGTATAGTCACGATAAAATAAAGCAGATAACCGAAAAACACTGTCAAAGTTTTTCGTTTGTCTATTGTAGTTGAAATTCTCTCCCGGTTTCAACTGATTTTCAATAGAATATACGAGAATGGATGAAATTAAATGTGAATTTCCCAAGAGGAAAATATGGCCGCATGAAATTATAAAAGTAGATTAGAGCCAACATTTCTGCGGAATGGATAGGAAACATGTTTAATGAATTTTGCAATATATTGTGGAGAACTTATTGTGAAAATGGAAAATATTTCATTTAATAGTTGTACAACAATATGCAAATTCAGTGTCAGACTGGGCGCTTTATATTCAACTAGCATGGTAACCAGTTTTTGCAAAAGTTTTGTGCCCTTGGTGAATCTGATTGAATTATTTGGAAAGTGATTGTTTAGACCTGACTTGGTTTAAAAAAATAGTCTTTCAGAAATCAGAACTTTAGCTATTTAACTAACAGGAAATGTTTGAAAAAACACCAGCATTACAAAATGTGTACTGATTTGACTATTCAACAGATTTTTATTAAAATTGCCGATGCAGTTGTAGCCCAGCCGATGATTTTCCAACAGAAAATTCAATTAATTTAGACAGATCGTTTCAACTGAACATATTTCATCCATGAGTTTTCGGTACAGAAATTTTCAATCAGTAACTGCTGCGAACCCCGAATGGCTATTTGTTATTCCATCTCGAGAAGCGCAGGATTTTGCAGAATATCTTTTATACTGCGAGGCTGAATTATTAACTTTATGGCAATTTTTCAACTTATTTCATTGCAGCGTTTGTAAATCCTGATTCTGTGGTAAACGATTAATTTTTTTGGTCAAAGAAAAATTGTTGAACATTTGGCGGGGCGTGATTTAGTTGAAGAAACCCAAAGTGAAGACGTCGTAAATATTTAAACATGCAATTACGAATAACAGTCATTTTTTCTAGAAATGAAGTTGCCTTGAGTCCGATCGATTACTTCAATCCAGAATCGCGATAAATCAGTGGTTCATTTGCAGGTAAAGGTTTTCCCAAGTTCTTAATCAATGTCCATTTCCGACTCACTTTTCCCGATCCATTAAATTATGATTTGTCATCCAGAAGGGTGAGTTAAGCCTAATTAAGTGTACATCGGTAAACTCTTGTCTGAGTTTAACAGCCAGACGTAAAGCGCTTGATAAATTAATTGCATTACAAGGGGATTCGAAGCTGCTACACTCTCTAAGTCGCTATGCTTTAACTAGCGAACCCAAAAGCCAATATTTTCATATAATATGACATTAAGAGGCCGGTATTATTAAAAAGCTGGAATGCTCAATCCGGCTCTAAAGCGCCGTTTTGGAATTGGCCGTAGCTAGATTGCGCTGAACAATCGAATTAAGCGAAACTGGAATGCGAAAAAGCTGAGTTTTTGCCACTGCTAGTTTGGCTATTGTTAAATTGGCTGGCAGTTTATGTAGCGAATTTTTCGTTTTTTCGCATGGTGGTCGAGCTATATTCGGATTTTCAGAAGTTTCACCTGGATTATTATCACCAGCCCAACACAAGGAAAAAGTCATTAAACAAAGCAAAAAAAATGTTGAATGCGAGCGCCTATTACTATTTTTTTTTCAATGCAATACGTACTTTAAAAATTTTAGTAAAAAGTACAAACGTTTGGAAAATTACTTAGAAGATTTCCTAGTCATTTTTTTTTCATTAAGGGTTCGTTGCAAAGTTGTTTCGGTGCAGCAAAATGTAAAATTGTTCTTAGATAGATTGAAATAGCAAGTCACACCACCTGTTTGCACATTTCTAATCTTTACTTTGTCGCTATTAGCGCTAACTTTGACACTGCGTAAAAAATTAGTTTGACTATCTAATAGAGTAGTCTTTTGCAGTTATGGAGTACTAAGCGTCTGTAATAAGCTATGATACTTTTTAGCTCTTGTTTTAGTATAGTTTCACTATCAACCTGGCTACTTTTGTTCTTAATTTTAGGAGTAGCTGATAAATTAGGCGTTGGGAAAAATGAACTGAAAATTTACATTTAGAGAGCATGAGGTGTACCGAGACAACTGACAAAAACTTAAGTTGCAACTTAAGCAGCTTTTGACAATACAATTTTTTCTCATTTTGATGTTCGCAGAGTTTCAGTTTTTACTTTGTCGCTCTTGGTACTGATTTTGACAGTCTCTGAAAAACTAGGCTTTCCCTCTAATGGAATTAAACTTTGCAGTTATAGAGTCTGGAGTATCTTGAATAAAGCGTCAAAATTTCAAGTCGTAACTTGATTAGGTTTAATCGCTGCGATTTTTTTTCAGTTCTCTCCTTGTTTTGCTTTTGGTCTTAACTTTAAAAGTCACCGAATAATGAGTCGTTGTATGAAACGAAACGAAAAATTGCACGTGGGGGCAGTGGAGAGCGTCAAGTGTGTCTAGATTTCTGCAAAAATTGCAAGTTGCAACTTGACCAAGTTTTCACGCCAAGAATTTTTCTGTTTCCAGATTCTCTATTTTCACTTTGTTGTTCTTGGTCCCGATTTTGGCAGCTCTTGAAAAATTCGCTTTTTTATCTAACAGCGCGAGATTTTGCAGTTATCCAACACTAACTGTTCTGAGTAGGTGATGAAAATTTCAAGTCGTAACATGGTGAGCTTTTGATGTTACGAATTTTTGGCCTTTTTGAAAACTTCACTTTTGGTCTTAATTTTGGGAAATCCTGAAAAAATTAGTCGGAAAGTGAAACTAAATGAAAATTTGCAGTTAGAGAACACAGAATATATCTAGACAACTGACGGAATTGCAGGTTGTAACTTGCTCAGATTTTGTTGCCCCGAATTTTTCTGCCCGCAGATTTTCAGATTGTCCCTTGTGACCCTTAATACTAACTTTGGCAGACCCTGGAAAATTAATCGTTCAGACTAAACGGGTGTAATTTTATAGTTATGGAGTGTCAGCTATCTTTAATAGATTCTGAAAATTTCAAGTTGGATAAAACTGGTACATTTTCAGATTTCACCTTGTTCCTTAATGTAGAAAATGCGGCTAAAGTTTGATTTTTGCCAGTCGCTAAAAAATAGTCTTTCGGTCAAAAGCTTTTGGAGCAAAAATTCACAGTTATGGATAGTGAAAATATTTAGAAATTATATAATTATGATGCTTGTCCAGGCAGAAATGTATGGATTAAAGCAAACCAATTATTATAGTTTTGATGTTGCTGTCACATTAAGAGCAAACGAAATTATTTCCTTTAATAAATAATAGTACACTAATGATAACAGAATCATTGTGTTTGTTTCAGTCAATTTCATAACGCCATGTTCTATGAATGTTCAAATTCATACTAAATTTTAACTACTCAGTATTTATTTAATTTTGAGCCACATTCACTTTGGTATCGCTTATAACTGAACAATTAATTGCATATTTCTTCATAAAGTATGAAATTATTTTAAGTCTAAGCGTACAGAGAAAACAGGTATATATCGTTCCCAACATACTTAAGTTTTCCATAAAGTAATAAATTATTTTAGCTGTAAGCATGTAGAGAAAACAGGAATATATCGTTAAAAAACAGACATAAGTTGTGGTTTTTCAGGTAAAAGCACGCCGTTAAATCTTACTTCAGCAGAAACAGTCCGAGTGCAAAATGAAAATAATTGAAAATTTTCATGAATATCAGAACAGTTGAGAATGGTTTGCATTTGTTTGTAATTGTAAACCTTGTATCTTATCTGCCTAGGCAATAAAACTTTGTTTTAGTTCACCTCGAGGTTAATGCATAAGATTTTGAGTCAGTTTATGCAAGATAAGTGAAAAAATAAGCGTTAAATTAATACTCTTTAATGCAATACATTACACAGTTAACTAATTAAATCAACTATTTACTGTTTCTTCACTTTTTTCTTCGCAACTTTGAAACTGTTGATAAAAAACTGAGTCTAGACCGAATTTGGATATTTAATTTATCGAATTAACGCGACCAGTGACTACGTTGGTTCATCAACTGGAAAACCCCATCAACAAATAAAGATCTGAAATCATTTGACAACGTTCTGCAGATTGCTGGCAAAAACATGGAAACAGTCTCGAGTAAACTTGCCCCAATTAATTCACTATATCCTGAGCGGGATTTTCAATTTACAAATCGATCAGCTACAAGACCCTGGCCAATTTTGCATGTTTAAAACTGATTTTGTTGACCGAATGCCAGATGCAATTGCATTTTGAAACTAGTGCTGCTTTTGCGCTCAAAGGCTTAAAATATTCTTAATGGGGTTCCATAATTACTGATTGATTTTTACTACCGACATGTTCTATATGGCTTGGAAAACTAAAGAAGTTTTAAAGCAACTATATGTTCAAGCTTATTTTAATTCGGTTTTAATGCTGATTACTGCTGTTTGCCTTTTTCATGTGGTTGAAATGTTCCAGACGTAACTAATATTAACTTTCAGCATAGCTTGCTATAATAAATGCTCTAGCAAAAACATTAACTAAATTTCAGGACAGGTCAATAAAAAATGGTAAGTTATAAATAAAGCTTAGAAACTATCCACAATAACACAACAGCATGGCTGATCATGAATCACGTTCTCGATGCGACAAATCTGATTTTTCTTCGTTAATCTGAGCCCCTAATCAAAAAAGTTGATTAATAATGTATAGTTTATTGTTTACAAGAAATGAAACAATTGCTTCTCATATTAATTAAAACTGAACGATGAATTGGTTATCTCGCTTTATGTGTTCGGGGTGCTAATGTGGCTATTAACTTAAGTACAGTTAAATTTTGCACGTCTATTTGAAAATACCAATATCTAGTTCGCAGCCAGCAACATGTACTCTACTATGGTGATTCCATTTGATTTAAAAGGAAAAGTGGCAATTGTTACTGGTGGTGCAGATGGTCTAGGGTTCCAATTTGCCTTAGAACTACTGAAGAAAGAAGCCAAGGCTAGACGGACATTAGGTTTTGATTGATTTGAAAAGGCCTTTCTATGAGAGTTTTGAGTTGAATTTTGGTAACTAAAAAAAGTACTATTCTAGTCCGTTGTTATAGCAGATATATCTGAGAATATTGGGAGGAAAGCAGTGGTACAACTTAACAGCGAATTTGGACCTAACAAGGCCGTTTTTGTTAAAACTGATGTTACAGATTACAATTAATTTGAGAGTACGTAAAAACCGATTGACGATATGCAAAGTTGTGATTAATTTCCTTCGCAATCAACCATCCAGTTATAGGTTGGGAGTCGCTTTATCTAATAAAGTTTTTTAGACGTATTTAAGAAGACGATCAGCGTGTTTCATAATGTCGATATTTTAATTAATAATGCTGGAATATACAACGATTTCCTATGGCAAAAAGAAATAGCTATCAATTTGGTAAGTGTTAATCTTTGCTTAGTTTATATATAGTATAAACCCTAGAAACATTCTAAGCATTAGGATGTTTGGTACAGGATTAGGACACATTCGTGGATGAGGCTGAAACTGTTTATCAGTTTATAATGCCAAACAGATTTACTGAAGTTAAAGCGTTTCTTAAGTGACTGAAAGTTTGGGTTGAAATATTTTTAATGTTTTGTTTTTTGCATCCGTAAGCCGAAATATTTTAGATTTATCAGCAAAAAATCGTTCTTTATCTCGATTCTAGCAGAATAAGAGCAACGTTATATTGCGATAGATATTTTGCAGTCTGAATTTTTGAGTATGTATATAGCAAAAAATGAGCTCATTGACTTTGTTTTTGCTTATGATTGATCCAGTCGCGCTCATTTACCTTGTAGGCCTCCATAAAATTCCACTCAGCATCCTTCAGTAGGCGTAATTGAGCCGGATAAGAAAAAGCGATCAAATTTTATTACCTACTGCTGGTTATTTAACTGAAATGAAAATAGCCACACTTTCATTTTATTAATAAAAAATACCAATTGCGCACACTCAGTAATAATTTAAACCATAATCTTAACGTGCGAGGACTTTCTAATCGGGAATTTTAATTTGTTGTAAACAGTTCGCTTCAATCCCTTTTGAAAGTCACATCGCTTTTTACATACGTTGTCGAGCACTTGTGGAGCCAAAATGAGCATCTTTGAAATAGCCGATAAAGTGGCCATTATTACAGGCGGAGCGTCCGGATTGGGACTGAAATATGCTTTGGAATTGTTGAAAAAAAACGCCAAGGTAAACGAGAATCCTTAGTTGGTTTTTATGATCCAATTAGAAATTTTTCTAAATAATTTCAAATCTAATTGTAGCTGAAAATGTTGTTTGCAATGTTGTGCTTTTTGAAATTATAGGCCGTTGTCCTAGCCGATATATCTCCGGAGCTTGGAAGCAAAGCTTTGCAACAAATTGAAAAGGAATTTGGCAAAAATAAGGCTATTTTTATAAAAACAGATGTCACGAGCTATGCACAATTTGAAGGTAATTTAGCTCCTTTTCATCATACAATAATAATAAACGCTGACATAAAGGCATGCGATAATGAGTGGTTAAAGAAGTTATATTAGAGATGCCCTTCAAGCCCTTTAATCAATATACAGAAAGAGCAATTTCCTAGACAAGATCCCAAGTATATATGGATGCCGAGAGAATATTTGAGTTTAGAAAACGTTGAGATTACGACGGGTTTGGTTTAAATATTTTGTTTTTCTGCACTTGTTTTATCAATTCCATGTCATTCGGTAAACAGATGCTCAATTAAGATCAAAGTCAAATGTGTTTCACAAAGTCAGCCAGCTACAGCAAAATATTTACGAAAAGTCCAAATTTGTAAAATTCAATTTTAAGGTTTAATTTAAATCTTGACGTTTTTCTGTTTTTGTCTAATTTAAGCCAATGCTTAAAAGCACAATTTATCAAGATCAAATCTGAGCATGCTTGACACTAATCGTCGATCGCCGAAAATTACTTAAGAAGAATTTATTTTTCAAAAAGTTTTTAATTCTTTAAAGCGTTTCAGAAGTTTCACTGAGATAAATTTGGTGTCTCCTTTATCATTTTTTACTTCGGGTTTCATTTCCATATTTTGCTTCCGTCCATTTCAAGTCACTGAATAAAAGCATACTGCATCAAGATCAAAGCTGACCATGAATCATACTGATACTGAATGGAAGCAAAGTCTTCAAGAATATTTCATCTTTTTTTGAATTTCCTTGTTTTAGAAAACCTTTCAGAAGCTTCAGTGAGATTAATTTAGTATCTCCTTTATCATTTCAAACTTCAGGTTTAGTTTAACTATGTTACCTTTCCTGGACTTCTTCGTCATTTGGTCGATGAAAGCAAATTCTTCAAGAAGTTTACCATTATAGAAAACGTTTCAGAAGTTTCAGTGAGATCAATTTAGTATCAACTGAATACGTTTCACAATGACAGTAAATCACAGCAAATTATTGAAGATTGTATTTTTTCAAAAGGTTCCTAATTTTCGGAAACGTTTCAGAAGTTTCACTCACATGAAGTTCTTGTCTTCTTCACCTTCTAAAGGTGGGATTAGTTTACATATTTTCCTTTTTCTGGATTTCCTTCATCCATTTCAAGTCATTGATTGCAGATGATTGGATGCATACTCTATTAAAATCAAGGCAGAATACTGTTCACACAGATAGTCAACACAGCAAATTACTTAAGAGAATTCAAAATTTGTAAGGCGAGGGAGAATTGGTGCCGCGTTTGTCACTGTAACTTCAGGTTCAATTTAAATGTTTTGTTTTTCCTGGACTTCTTTCGTCAAATTTGAACAATGCTTAAAAGGATAGACAATGCTAACAAGGTCAATCACAAATTCCTCAAGAATATTCTCTAATACGTAGAACAACCGATAAACTTTCTGAATTCGGAACTGAGTTGTTTTTTTTTCATTTATAAAGCACTTTTGTAAGTATTGTACTCTTTCGAGGTGTGTTTTCTAGTGCAACTTTGGCCTCGCATTAAATCACTTGATTGCGTCGAGTTTCAACAAATGATCAAACGTAGATCAAGATCAAAGTTCACGTCGTTTCACACTGATATTCAATTAGAGACCCGCGAGTACCCTGATATTACTAGTTTTTTCACGTTTTAATGATAAATAATGGCGAAACTATCAACATTTCAGCTGTGTTTAAGGAGACAATAAAAACGTTTAAAAATGTGGACATTTTAATAAACAATGCTGGAATAATGGATGATTCAGTGTGGGAAAAGGAAATTGCCATAAATGTGGTGAGTATTGGAATTTATAAATATATTCCAATATACATATATTTTAGATTGGGTTCCAAAGTATAAAATGAAAAGTAAACTGCACAAGCTCTTTTATTAACTAACATTATTTAAATGAGAAAGTATCGACAGTGTGCAAATAATCCCAGCAAATTAATTAATTTACAACGGTTTATTTTAGAATGGTACAATAATTGGAATTCTTCTGGGATTGGAAAACTACATACAAAGATACAAATCCGGAAGCGAAGGGCTCATTCTGAATGTATCGTCTATTGCCGGAATAGCGCCATTCGCATTTGTGCCAATTTACGCTGGAACTAAGTTTGCTGTTTACGGTCTAACTATATCATGGGGTTTACCAGCTCATTACGAAAGAACCAAAGTTAGAGTGGTAGGCGTGTGTCCAGGATCGACAGTTACGCCGTTAATAACGGACCTACCAAACAGAAATTTGGGGCCTGCCTACGAGAAACTAAGACCGATAGAATGCGGCTTGGTGGTAAATCAAGGGTAAGCTACTAAACCGGCAAAAGGTTTCTAAAAATCTGGAATATATTTTTGATTTTAGCCCTGAGGAAGCGGCTGTTCAAGTAATGTCGGTTATTGAAAGAGCTCCTTCGGGAACCATGTGGGTGGTTGAAGGAGGCAAAGCACCCTTCAAGTTTCAATTACCCGACCGATTGGTAGGACCGAAAACATTTCTTCCGTAACAACCTTTACAGGATATAATGTTTACAATCACATTTATTGTACGTTTCATTAATAAACTGGGGTTTGCTTCAGATTTTTAACTTGTAATGTAGAATTGTGACGTGAATTAAACTGTAATGCTGTTTATTGAAGAATTTTATAATTATTCTTTGGTTAAATGTCACTTACTATGACTCCATGAAGGCAGAAGTATGTGGTTTCAAATATAGCCTAAAGGCCCAAGAAGCTCAACAGTTTCATTGTATCTGTTTCAAAGAACACAACTTTGCTGTGGTTTACAATTTGGCATACAATTTATTTGGATTTCCTACACATTTCGTTCCGATAGGATTCAGTTGATTGAAATCAGCAACTTTTCTGAGACAAAAACTAGAAGAGTCCGCCAATTCCAATAGTGGATAGAACCATAGATGAATGTTTTTAAATCAAACTAGCAGAGCATTTGGACGAGAATTAATCTCAACGAGTCGGAACCGAATGGTTTTTGATATGCCACAAGCAGAATTCAAAGAATCCAAAGTGCCAGAATCGCACTTAATTTATCTACGTCAAAGCTGGCTAAGCCTTTTCTGGATGGCCGATGGTAATAAAAGGATCTGCTTTATGAAACCATTCTTCATAGAAACTGATTTATTACCGGTCTGACCTTTCCCAGGATATAATACTTCACGTTTGACAAAGTTAAGCATTTAGAAGCGAAAAATTCTTGTACAAAGGAAAGCGAACGGGGCGAATGGTATATAAGTGTCCCCTTTTATTAGAGGACGCTTCAGGTCTTTTTCGGCTCTTTATTTCGCAATATCGCATTTAATGTGGCGTGTTTAGGCCGCAACTTATTAGTACGCATCCGTAACTATTGCGCAATCCTATGCCGAATCCCTGGGATCATCGTAAAGTCTGGAGTTTTTATTTTTTGTTGAATGCAATGAAAAATAAAGCACTTGACGAAGATGGAATATTTAAGATTACTGAACTCAGCAATCCAAAAATGCTTTAAGCTATTTATATACATAACAAATTACAAAATAAATAATTTTATTAATCACTCGCTGTGTCTTTGGCTTGTCTTCTTTCTCAACCTCATGGGGATTGAAAACATAGGGAATATTCTTGAAATAGTACTTACTCTTATAATTCCTTCATCCTCTACTGACATAAACCTGAAACAACAAAAAATATATTATTTTCTGCTAAGTTGATAGTGTTAATTCTCCAAATATGCCATTTCTAATCTAGATTGATTAAATTGCAACATTTTAGGAACATATTTACTCCAATCAATCTACATTTACGGGATAGGTAATAAACATCATTCCCTTCACTGGAAACATTTCAATTCTCTTTAGAGATTCATGCTTTTCTGGAAAATATGTTCTTAAAGGTTCAAAGCCACATTTAATGCTATCTAGATTAATGGACTATAATTATTAATTTTTCAAGTTTAAATAGGACAAAACAAATTACTTTGTAACATTGGCCAAAAAAGATTTTGTTTATCGTGAATATATTTTTATTATTACATAGGTATCTTATTTTAACTAATCTAAATAGTCTAATTAAATGACTTAGTTATTTAAAGTAATGAAATGCCGATGTTTTTGTATAGTTTTTACGAAGTTTACTTTTTCAATATTGAACTTGCTTATGAGTCATTTGTTAGTATCTTACCATGAAAAAGCTTACCGTCAAATGTAATAAACACTATAAAAGAATAAATAAGCAAAATTTTGTCCAGATAATGGCCCTAATTTCTGTTTAAAAAATCCTGATTGGGACTTAAGTAGACTTTAAAACTCTCTTGAGAAAAAATCGCATAGAAAAGTGAAGATTTGCATCACAAACCGACAATTTTCTTAAAATTCAATTGACAAATTAATAGGTAGAATGCGAATTAATTGCGAAAGCACAATATTAAAAGGGAATTTCCTGAGCTTTAAATTCCTGTTTCTTGAATGGATTAGTTTCAATTTGAGCATAGTACTGTGGATATACGAGGACCACATTTGTGGTAGAATCACCCAATAGAGAATCCGTTTTCAGCTACTTTGCAGGAACTAAGTTCGAATCGTGATAAGGACAAAAGGCTGGTATTAAAGGTAGAATAGCATTTTTCTAGCGATGAGGCCATTATATTTTTATTCGTTTTAAGTAGACGCAAATAATCTCACATCTAATTATCTGAAAAAATTTAATTATTTAAATCGTTCAAGCTCATTTTACATAATAGATTTGTGACCCGCAGCAATTCAATGTACCGATACGCAATCCACATGTGCTAATACGCTGATAATTTGGTTATCTATTACATAAAACAAATAATTACAATTAGAAAATCTCGTAAATTCATTTTTTTATAACATATATGAAGAAACAACCAAATAAGAAATTATTAATGTTTTCGCAGAATTACTGTCTGTACTGACGTATTTAAACAGCCGATAAGCTCAATCGCAAAAATGTTTGTAATTATCGACGAAATATTGGGCCAGAATATGGGCAAAAGACGTGGCGGTAAATCTGCTGACTAATAACAAATCCAATGAAGAGGGATTTTTTTAAATTCCATTTTAAACTTCTCTTTTTCTCAGACTATGAAGTCTTTTTTACCGATTTAAAATATCCGTTGAAGTTTTCTGGGATTTTAAGACTGTTGCCTCATAATGCTCACCTTCGATAATGTTCATCGCAGATGTAAACGAAACGTTAGGAAGCAATTTCAATGGCCTGGCCCATGGCTTATAGGTCGTGAAAACTTTGCTCCGTTCCTTCTGCTGTAAATTTAAATGCATCCATCATTGGAATGCTACAGAGGTTTCTTAGGAGTAAACTACCAATAATTTAAGTGGTTTCAGCCTTTAAAATTTTGTCTGGAGATAAATGAGTCTGAGAGTTTTAGATGTTGTTGAATTATCTGCAAATGCTTTCGCACCAGTTTATGCAGCCTTCAACTTTGCAATTCATGGTTTGACTAACCATGTGGTTTACCCGCTCATTACAAAAGAACCAAAGTTTGAATAATGGGAGTTTGACCAGGATGACCTCCTGATCTCCAAAAACTTAGGTTTAGAGAACCAGAGGCGAAGATGTAAATTATGGGAAGAGGAATGGCAAAGGCGAGCTCAAACGCGTTAAAATTTTTGTTTCAATGGTATTTTGCAACACTGAAGAAACTGCATTTTCGAGACTCGTAATGACTGTTCCTTCTCCTTCCACCATATCTGAAAAAGTTCACAATTTTCACAAAAATACCTCGTAATTTCGAGTTCTTTCAGGTATTCAATAGGAATAAATTGCGAAAGCTGGACTAAACAGATAAAAGCATGAAAGTAATTGAAATAAGCCAATTTCAGTAAAGATGAGATATTTACGACTGAGGACGAAGAAAACGGCACAACTGAAACTGGTTTGTGTTAGTTTTAGATTACAAATATTGTGTGTTATCTCTGTAAAAAATTAAGTTTGTTTTCATTTAATCCCAGTAAATTTTTAAATCTTAGAGGCCAGCCTATGCCAGATAGCCTGGAAAATTGTGGCAAAACCTATTACATGTTTAATGAACAATAGTAATTTTATTCGGGTAACAATTTACAATAATCCTGGTGCATTGGCTTTTTGAGTCCCGCAGCTTTAATCGTATTAACAGCACGAGCTGATTTTTCACCAATGATTTACAAACGATCAAGATTAACTGCAAGTGCAAAGTTTCGATGATAACTTTCCTCTTGACGTGATCAATGCTTTTCAATGGTTGTAAACAAGTGTGTCAAAATAATGCAGCTTTGATTGGCTAAAACAAGCGTTGCAAAATGCTTTTAGCTGCACACGTATGATTTTTCATTTCTTTACATCTTTGATGGAAAAACTGCGATTCGAACTGCTACTGATAAACGCTTGAACCCAATTAATCAATGATTAATGCCGGATTCCCCAATATAAACTTTTATTAAGGAACAAATAAATTAAAAAAAGGCGTTATTTAAAAAATCAACCTGAAAAACCCGTCCCTATTTACAGGCCAACGGTTTCAAATGGATCGTGTCATGGGAACATGGAAATTGTTCACGTAATGAATTATTTAAACTTTAAAAGTTCCTATTACTGATTCAACTGTATGCTGACGTTTTTCCAGCCGCAACAAGTTGTACATATGTTTTTTTAGAAATTTTCACTGAACCGAACGCCCTTTTTGCCCCAGTTGAACCGAACTTGGCGTTGCTTGGTTTGTCGATTTTACCGTTAAATTATTAAACTGGTGGATTTGGAAATAAACATTACAATTCCAGCTTTTGGTCATGTTAGCTTATTTAATTAATTATTCATCAATTAGTTTGCTAATTAAAACTCTTAAATTCTGGTTGTATTTTGGTTTTTGGATATTCACCTCCTCCACTTTCATTTGCTGCCTTTATATTTTACTCTCTGCCTAACAGAAAGTTTTTAGGAAGTGGGAAAAGTGAGTGTCGATAACATGGGGGTGTAATAATATTATACAACCTATTCACTATTTGCGATATAATTTTTTTCCAATAAGATAAAACGTGCTAACTGGGGTTGGTGGTGGTATAAATATTCCGCGTATGTTGAATGGTGGATGGATGGATGAAAATGGAACTTTAATTGCTCCTTATTGAACTAAACATAAAAAGACCGTAGTATGCCTATTAAAAAATATTTGTAGTAAATGTGACAATTATTAGCTCCGGTTTCCTCTAAATAAAAGAACAATGACCCTGTAAGAATGAATTGCATATGCCAGGAATTGTCAAAATATTTACTCTCGTTCAAGTTCCTATTTAAATTTTAGCTTAAAAGTGCTTATCTGGTAAACTACTTTCATTGTTTTTCGGGTTATCTATTTCACAGATTCGTTTCTTGGAAATGGCAATGAAGTTACGCACAAAATACGTAAATTTTTCATTCCGCATCTACTCTACAAATAAAATGGTTTCTTTCAATATAAAAGGAAAAGTTGCTATTGTTACGGGCGGTGCATCTGGACTGGGCTTTTAATGTGCTCTTCAGTTGTTAAAGAGGCAAGCTAAGGTATGAGTTAACTCAATGAAAAATGTGTTTTCTTGTGAAAATTGCTGCAAAAGCGCAAACCAATCCAGAGTTAAAATAATTTAAAATTCAATACCTTATACAGGTTTTCAGTAAAGTTTACAGACAAAAATACCATTTCAGGGCGTTGTTCTAGCAGATGTATCGCCTGAACTTGGAAGTCAAGCAGTTGAGAAGCTTGAGAGCGAGTTTGGTCCCCAGAAGGTTATTTTTGTCAAAATATGTAACTAACTAAAATATATAAATATGTGATTATAAAGAATTGGAGGGTATGCATCACGACACTTGAGCAGATTTGCGAAATGAATTATCGTTGAAATTATAATTAAATTATTTAAAGTCACGCGCCCAAACTTTGCTTATAAACGCACTGAAAACAGACTTTTATTGTCATTATCAAATAATTTTATTTATCAGCATATTCGCGAATGTCGACATTTTAATAAACAAAGCAAGAATATTGAATGATTCAATTTGGCGGCAAGAAATTTCCATTAATTTGGTGAGTATAATCATGATCACGTATTATTTTAAACTAATTTTGAAAAATGCGTTTTTAACGAGACCTACATATTTAAAGAGCCAAGTCGTTTCCTATCAAAAAAACTGTACAAACATTAGATTAGATATCTTTGCTTTAGAATGGAACAATTCATGGCGTTATCTTGGGCTTGGATAATTACATTAAGAACTTCAAGTCAGGAGATGAAGGCCTGATAGTAAATATATCATCTCTAGCTGGAATAGCTCCGATAGCTCTAATGCCATCCGATGTATCTACCAAATTTGCAGTCCATGGTTTAACATTGCCTTGGGGTGCATCCGAACATTACGATCGAACAAAAGTGTGTACAAGTTGGAGTTTGTCCAGGAATTACAATAACTCCTCTAATAACAGAAGTTTCGAACAAAAGTTACAAACCGGAATACGAGCAACTGCGTGGCTCACCGGCTGATTCCCCTGTACAAAAGTACGTATAAATGACAGGTTTGTTTTGTAAAAGTCTGAGTTGAATTTTAGTCCTGAAGTTGTGGCTCCGCATGTGATCACAGTCATCGAAAAGGCTCCATCGGGAACTATGTGGGTAGTTGAAGGCGGAGAACCACCCTATGAGTTCAAACTACCCGATCGATTTACTCAGCCGAAAATATTCCTTTATTACGCCCAGATTTAAAACTCGCAAAGTTATTTTGTTCCTTTCAGTGGACGTAGATAATAAACATGTAAATAAAAATAATTGTTTTTGTCGCAGAAGAACAAACCGCATTTTGCGGTGTTTGAATCCAATCTGCTGTTTGATTAAGTGCACATGTCAAACCATTTAACGCAAGGCAAATCCAAAGACAAACTGCGCGCAGATTAACTAGGAAAATAAAACAATCAGAAGGAAAACACCTTGCTTTCAACAACTAGTTAATTCTTGGTAATTCCTTCGAAAGCACATTGCAAATAATTATCATTGTTTTGTCATATTAAATGTAAATAATGAAGAATACGAAAAAAAAACAGAATGATTGACAATATATATTTAATTTCAGATCTAGATTCAGCATATCAAAATTACTACAGTACCTAAAATTTACGTTTTGAAGTTCAACCGTTTAGAAGTAATTTGCAAAAAACCCTACTACTGGGCCCCTCTTCAAGAAGGCGTAGCTCCGTTAGAGAGCATTTTTCGATATATGTTCATTTGAAAAATTAACATTAATTTTGAGAGCCGATTTCACTGTTTCAGTTTGGCCACACCTAATTTGGGGACACCCTGTATATCTGATATCGTTAATCTCGTAATGTTTCTTGAGGCTTCATTGACCTTCCCAGTTTCCTCGCTAGATTGAGTATTATTGGTGCTCAGTCAACCACGAGTACTCAGCCAGTATGGTATCTTTTAATATTAAAGGAAAAGTTGCTATTGTTACGGGTGGCGCGTCTGGACTGGGTTTACATTATGCTCTTGAACTGTTAAAGAAGCAAGCCAAGGTATGAGTGCAATTAATGGGAAAACAGCTTCTACATTATTCATATTCATATAAAACACTTATAGGCGTTTTCATTTGCAAAAAGATATGAAACACTTTATATGGAAAGATTGTTAAAAGTCGCGCGTAATATAGAATGAATCTAAGAGGTTTAAAATATATTTGCTGATTAAATTACAATTTCAGGCTGTTGTGATAGCAGACGTATCCGCCGAACTTGGACGCAAAGCTATTGAACAGTTTGAGAGAGAGTTTGGCGCAAAAAAGGCCATTTTCATCAAAGCAGATGTTACAGATTACAATCAATTTGAAAGTAAGCAAATATTTAATTGAAACTTTTTCATACGCGAAACTTTCAACATATCTAATGAATTAACGTTTTCAGATGTGTTTAAAACAACTATCAGCACGTTTCAAAATGTGGACATATTAATAAACAATGCCGGCATATTCAATGACTCAATTTGGCAACAAGAAATCGCTATTAATTTGGTGAGTAATAAAAATTTTGAAACCTCACAATTGGCAATAACAAAGTGAACTTTTTTAGAATGGCACAATAAATGGAGTTCTCTTAGGGCTGGAGAATTATATAAAAAACTTCAAATCCGGAGACGAAGGGCTGATATTAAACATATCCTCTATAGCAGCAACAGCTCCATATGGTCTAATGCCCGGCTATGTTGCAACCAAATTTGCCATACATGGCCTAACATTATCTTGGGGTGTGCTTGAACATTACAATCGCACTAAAGTGCGAGTGGTCGCAATTGCCCCAGGACTCACTGTTACTCCACTATTAACGGAATCCGCAAATAAGACTTTCGGTCCAGACTATGAGCGATTCGCCGACTTACTGACTACACTTCCTTTGCAAAGGTACGTAAAAAATTTTAGAAATCGATAGGTCAAAGCTGAATTTTTAACACGAATTTTAGTCCAGAAGACATGGCTCCGCATGTAATGACGATTCTTGAAAAGGCCCCATCTGGAACGATGTGGATACTGGAAGGAGGAGAACCACCCTATCAGTTTAAAATACCCGATCGATTCACTGCACCCAAAATATTTCTTAAATAACTCTAAATACAATAAACGCAAATCAAGCAAATGTACTTCCAAAAGTGTACAGCAACAGTGGTAAATAATGAATAAACAAATAGTTATGGCAGTTCAAGCACCACTAATCTCATTTTAATGTCCTTAACTAAATCTATGTCTAGTCTTTCTAATTAAAAGGTACAAGAAGCAAAACGCAATAACCTCAGCTATAAACATGCGGAGAATAATAGCGCAACGCAAGGATAGAAGAATGGGAAAAATTCTCTCAGAGAATGGAAAAAAGTGCAAGAGAATCGGACTGAATATCGGATCCACCACATTATATACCTCGCACTATGCAGATAACCAGGTGGTAATCGCTCAAGGCAAAAGTACATAAAGTAAAATTTGAACAAAAACCAATATCCGTGTGGGTGAAGAACCAGCAGATGACCTGGACCTAAAACATCGAAAAATAAAAAAATGATTGAGTGATTAATGCATCTGTCTGGGAATCAAACTGATGAACGTAAGCCGAACTGAGAAAGATATCAAGGAGAAAATTGGCAAATTCAAGAAACGGAGGGCCGGATACTGAAATGATTAAAGAAAAACATAACACTGGAACACAAAATAAGAATATATGATGCACACAAAGACTTAAGGCCAATGTACGGGAAGTTGAACTGATAGAACAAGTGAGAAATGACGAAATAAGAGAACCAACAAAAGAACAATGGTGGAAGATATAGACAAGCAACAATTAATATGGTACCCGCCTGTAAAGCGTATAGAGGAAAAATACTTCAAAAGAAAACGTCAAGAAAAAAGAAAAAGACAAAAAATTACAAAAGCGATGTTAGCCAGAAACCTATTAGAAGATAACTAGGAAGACATAGAAGCCTGCTAAACCGGGACCCAAAGGCAAATAACGCTATAAACGGGATTTATAAAAAAACGAGAATATTTACTTCAAAATATGACTTTAAAGCTGTCCATGTTATGGCGAGTAAATGTTGGGTGACACAATAAAAATAACTTTTACCGCATCAGACAATAACCATGATTCAAAGATAGTGAAAATGTATACATGATTATCAGGACATCAATAGAAGACATTTGCGTGGGAAAACCCATTTCGCAAAATGTTCCCTTAAGGGTTTTACGAAACTTTAAGACCGTTTTACCGAGTTTAGATTTGTTCGTACCCAATAATACTTGAGTAATTGTGCAAATGTTCTTTAAACTGTTCAAACATCGTACATTTTTCCTGCGAGCTCATTCATAGGGCTGTAGTTTCTGCAATCAGATCTTTCTCTGTTTCCACTAGCGCATCGCATACTATAAACGATAAGTTTCAGTTTAAAGTGAACAATTTCAAAGACTTTGGCCAATTCTGGCTTTAATGTATAGAGCTAATGTTGGGAACTGTTTGTAAACTTCAACCGCAACATTACCCCATAGGAAAAAGTCGATTTGTGTTATGTCAGGTGATCTAGGTGGCCATTCATTTGCTCCACCGCGCCCAATACAAGCATACAATTAAACATACATGTATGGGACCAACAAATTCAAAGGGTTCAAAAATACAACTACTTGGGCACCTGGATTACAGGAAATAACTACCAACAAGCGTCAAGAAATGCGATAGAAAAACATTCTCGGGTTTTCACAGAAACCTCACAATAGAACTAAGAGTGAGAACATTTCAACATTAATGATTGTTCTACTGTATGTTAGATCGGAAGGCTGGACGCTTAAAAAGGAGCATATAAACAAACTGCAGTCGCTTGAAATGTGGTTTTATGGAAGGATACTTAGAATATCATGGACAGAAAAAAGAACGAACATGGACATACTTCGAGAAATGGGTAAATACTCTGAAGTAATTAACACAAGAAAGGCAAGAAAATTGCAATACTTGGGGTATATAATGAGAGGACATCGACATGAAATGCCTTAGAGTGATCATGCAAGGAAAGATAAGGGGAAAAAGGAGCAATTTTCATGATTGAGAAATTCAGATTTCATGGTTGAGAAATTTGAGGAATTTCTTTGGTGGTAGATCAATAGAACTTTTCAGAGTAGCGGCAAAAAAGTAAGAATACAAATTACTTTGTAACATTGGCCAAAAAAGATTTTGTTTATCGTGAATATATTTTTATTATTACATAGGTATCTTATTTTAACTAATCTAAATAGTCTAATTAAATGACTTAGTTATTTAAAGTAATGAAATGCCGATGTTTTTGTATAGTTTTTACGAAGTTTACTTTTTCAATATTGAACTTGCTTATGAGTCATTTGTTAGTATCTTACCATGAAAAAGATTCTGCCTTATATTCAGTTCAGGAATACTTAAGAAAACCGTTCGGTGAGTTTCATTGCAAAATATGAGATCTACGAATTTTTATGACTTGGTTATCTATAGGTAGGTTCTTAGGAGGATTTATTTAAATGGTAGGCATGTTTATTGCACTGCAGCAATGCACGCAAACCTGAAGTGAATGGATTACATAGAAGTAGAGAATTGCTAAAGGTTTGAAACATCTAAACGAGAATAAAAAGTACAGGGTCACTAAGAGTATTGATGAAATAACAGCAAAACTGTGCAGCAAACTGTATTTAAAAACTGATTAAGAGTTTTTAAGCGCTTCTTCCTCCGATAATGAACAGCATTGCCTGCATAATATATTAATTGATTAAAATATTCCTTCGAAAACCCGCTTTAATGCTTTCTTGTCTTAGGAGAGTTTTTAAGTTTTTAGGACAACTTTGCAACTCCTTCTATAATATTCAACATCTGTTTAATTCGCACGCAAAATCTTTCTCCTCCAAATAGTCCGCATTATGTCTATTTCAAACAAATTTGCAGAATGTTTACTAGGATGGAAGCTAATAGGTCAAACCTGGCAATATTGGGTTTTGTGGTCGGTAAACCAAAGCGGACAAAGAGTAAATAAAGCTTTCCAAATCGCATATAAATTATGAGTTGGCTGCTACAATGGAATGTTTAATTAACTTGAAATGTGAGAAAGGGTGCGTGCTGGGGGAGGCTTTTCGATAAAGCTGTACTATCTCGCATATTCAGAGCAGTTTAAATTCGATGGGTTTAAAAAATATATTTTATGGATTTAAATTATTTCATTATGTAGCCGAAGTTGTTCTTTTTCAAGAAAATCAATTTAGAACTTCTCTAGTAAACAGGCTGAGAGGGGGCTTTGTTAGTGAGCAACTTGGACTGAAAACATAATAAAAGTTTCCCTGTTCACGTAAATTCGCTTTTAATAACTGATGTTAGTGTCTTTTTAGTGCTTTCGAAGCATTGTGCTTAAAGTCGAAGCTAAAAGTTTAATTGACTTTCAAGTAAGTTAACTGCAGAAGATAGGCGCGCTCAATATTTAGTATTTGAGTAAAATCAATATTAGCTGCTTATTCGCCCAAAATCTACTATTAAAGTTTTACTCAACTTCAAATGGGCTATTATCGGAAAGCGTTTGGGGATGGCCGTTTTATCTAGCTAAAATCGATACAATATTCCCCAATTAGTCGGCTTGTAGCGTTTCTCTTTCAGCTGCGAAACTTGCAACTGCTTTCAGCCAGAGATTCAGTGAGAATATTCTATGAATTAAGCTGCCATGCTTTCATTAAGACCTGTTTCTTCCAGTTTCACTCCCTAATTTATTCGGGGGAATGCGATAGCGTTGACCCCGCATTTGAATTTTAAATATTACAGAGAGCAACTTTGCCAATTAGAGAGGCTCTGCTTAATAAAGTGGCATTACTACAGGCTTGGAATCATTAAGAACTTGATAAGTATCATTAGTGAATGTTTGAAGGAATTATCCACGAACTTTTGCAGTAAACACTTATTCAGGTGTGTTTGTGTTATTGTATGTTATGTTTAAGGGTTTATTCAAATGTTTCACCGTACTTGTTGGTATGAAAACATCCGAACGTGCTTTTTCCTGCCCCACAATTTTTTTTTCAGTTTTATTGTTGCCTATTCTCTAATTTCAAATTTAATGCCGTTGCTTGCGTGTTTCTCTTTGTTCGCAAAGCGAACCAAAATAATTTACTAAACCAAAGAATATAATGAATTTCATACATGTATAGTCACGATAAAATAAAGCAGATAACCGAAAAACACTGTCAAAGTTTTTCGTTTGTCTATTGTAGTTGAAATTCTCTCCCGGTTTCAACTGATTTTCAATAGAATATACGAGAATGGATGAAATTAAATGTGAATTTCCCAAGAGGAAAATATGGCCGCATGAAATTATAAAAGTAGATTAGAGCCAACATTTCTGCGGAATGGATAGGAAACATGTTTAATGAATTTTGCAATATATTGTGGAGAACTTATTGTGAAAATGGAAAATATTTCATTTAATAGTTGTACAACAATATGCAAATTCAGTGTCAGACTGGGCGCTTTATATTCAACTAGCATGGTAACCAGTTTTTGCAAAAGTTTTGTGCCCTTGGTGAATCTGATTGAATTATTTGGAAAGTGATTGTTTAGACCTGACTTGGTTTAAAAAAATAGTCTTTCAGAAATCAGAACTTTAGCTATTTAACTAACAGGAAATGTTTGAAAAAACACCAGCATTACAAAATGTGTACTGATTTGACTATTCAACAGATTTTTATTAAAATTGCCGATGCAGTTGTAGCCCAGCCGATGATTTTCCAACAGAAAATTCAATTAATTTAGACAGATCGTTTCAACTGAACATATTTCATCCATGAGTTTTCGGTACAGAAATTTTCAATCAGTAACTGCTGCGAACCCCGAATGGCTATTTGTTATTCCATCTCGAGAAGCGCAGGATTTTGCAGAATATCTTTTATACTGCGAGGCTGAATTATTAACTTTATGGCAATTTTTCAACTTATTTCATTGCAGCGTTTGTAAATCCTGATTCTGTGGTAAACGATTAATTTTTTTGGTCAAAGAAAAATTGTTGAACATTTGGCGGGGCGTGATTTAGTTGAAGAAACCCAAAGTGAAGACGTCGTAAATATTTAAACATGCAATTACGAATAACAGTCATTTTTTCTAGAAATGAAGTTGCCTTGAGTCCGATCGATTACTTCAATCCAGAATCGCGATAAATCAGTGGTTCATTTGCAGGTAAA